AAAACAAACACTTAGGTAATAGATTTTAGTCTTTATGTTCTAGAAGGGGGGACAACAGGCACAAACAAGCCATCTTACATTTGCATCATAAAAAATGAAATAATCCTTAGCTATAAGTGACCTGAAATCACACCAATTCAGCCTAGATCTCTGGTTGGCTATTACTTTTGAGAAACTTTCACCTTCATTATTAGTTCTGATTCTTTCCCAAATATCCTTCCTTATTTTGTCTAGGTGATCAATGCATGTGTTTATATAGACTGTAGACACTAAATGTGTCTGCGAAACAGCAAGGCGGTCTTTAGGGCATATGCATGAATTACAAACAAGAATTTGACAGCGATTTGAAAATTTTGTAAGCCTCGGTTTTAGAAACAAGAATTCAGGTTTGGTCAGATTTGGTAAACACTTCTGACGAAAAACTAACAAATGATTATCCTTTTCAAAACAATCTCTCTTCCTTGATGTTTATCTCCTGTTGGCACGTGTGCCCAGAGTGCACACATGCTCACCTGCTCATGAATACACACATCCCTCATGTGGCTCAGGGAAGTCTAAGCTTGCATTTGTGAAAGTATAAAATTATGGAGACGTTTGGGTTCCATAGGACCTGCATTCTTTCAAAAACATTTATTGAAGTCTTATTATATGGTAGTTTCACAATGAGACTACAAAGGTGGAGAAATTTGGTAGGGGGAGGAAAGGCAGGCACACACACACACACACACACACACACACACACACACACATGAAAATACTGAAATGTGATGTTATTTTAACAGAGAAAGTTTCAAGATGCTATGCAACATGAATGAAATACTTAACTTTGGGAAGTCAGGTAGAGCTCCACGGAAAGTTAAATCTGAACCGAGTTTTGAATGAGTTATCTATAGCAAGTGATTATGCTAAGGCAATGAATTACAAAAGGCCTCTAAAGGAAATGGTGGCTGAGGATGGGAAGAGGCAAAGCCATAGAGACCCTTACCTATCACAGTAAGGGGTTAGGTTGCTATGCTCCAAAAAAAAAAAAAAAAAAAAAAAAAGAACCTACCTAAGAAATTGTAGCAAAGGAATGACAAAGAAAATGCATTTCAGAAAGACCACTCCCACTCCGTTCAACCATGTGGAAGATGAACTAGAGGTAGGAAACAATGTATGTAGGAAAACCGGTTGCTGAAAAACTACAGCAAAAGCACAGGAGAGAAAAATCACGAAGGTCTGTATTGGCAGAGCGCTGAACTACGGCAATGGAATTATCACTTTACTGCATATAATTAGAAATGGAACATAAAATGCCAATGCAACTTTTGAGATGGACAAAAAATGAAATATGCAACTGCATAAATACTGAGAAAACTTTGATATATGAAATGCTTTTGCAAACACAATCCAAAAACAAGATTGGGGTTAAGCACTTGTTTTGTTCCATATTTGGTTTTGTTCCATATTTTAGTTCAGGAGTTTCTTGGCAGAAGCAGGCAGTCACATCATGTTGCTGTGAAAATTATGTCATCTCAAAAGCTTTTTGAAAGCTTTTCAAGTCAAAGAAGGAGAGGAAACAAAAGAACTGTCCAAGTTCGCAATTCATTCATCATTATGTATATTAAAAAATCGCTGCCCAACAGATTTGTAAACAGGGTAGGTTCTAACAGAAGTTATAATTAATGTTAATTATACTAGGGCCGTCTGTATATCAGGTTATTGTGAGACACAAATACCCAGAAAAATAATTTCTTCCCGTCACTCTACCAAATCATTCTGGAATTGTTTAGAGACCCGTCTTCATGAAAACTAGGCTGTGTCATTAAGACAGATCCAAATCCCATGCAAACGAGTTCTGCTTTGGTCTTTTCTCTATATCATCCAGTTTACAGCCTCTTATAATTTCAACATTTTTAGGGGAAGGGGATGTAACAGGACTTTCAAGTTATCATATTATGCTATATTCAGGACAAAATTTTTAAGTTATCAGTTAGTGACTGAATTCAAATGTTAGGTAAAAATAGAAGGCAATATTCACTTACCTTCATCGATATTTAATGATTTTAACATGGTTATTCGATTTTTCCCCCTAAATTACACTCAGATTTCCATTATGGCAATAATTAAAATAATCTCCAGTTTAGTTTCTTTACAGGAAGTTTTGCAGGTACTTTTCATGAGAGAGTACCATTCCACAGCCAGGAAATGTAGCTAACGATCCATGCTTCAGATCAAACAGCAAGAAAACCATTCAGAATTCATTTAGTACAGAGAGCAAGCGATGTCACAGCATGAAACAAGTAAGTCCCGTATTTCATTTTTGTAAACACTGATTTAAAGTGACATTTTTCTCTTTTGGGTGTTAATCTAAGAAAAGACATGAAGGTCTTAATTAAAAAAAAAAAAATCAACCAATCTGCTACTATACAATGGTTGTTTGCGGTGAGTGTAGAAAAAACAAAATGAATCTGAATTTCTGAAGATTTTAGAAATGAGAGTTTAGCCTGCCTTTAAATGAATAATATGAACCTGTAGTAAACAGGTGAAAATACCCATCCCCTACTCTGCTACAGAGAGGATTAATGTAACTTCACTTTCATTTCAAACGCAACATCAGGGATATTAATCTGGACTTGTAATCTTCATGCTATAGTTTTGGAAGTCTTTCTTTGTATATCAAATGACAGTGGGAAAGAACTGGTAAATTTAAGGGGCGCCTGAAGGGCTCAGTCGGTTGAGCGTCTGACCGGCTCGGGTCCTGATCTCGCAGCTTGGGAGCTGAAGCCCCTCATCAGGCTCTCTGCTGTCAGAGTGGAGCCTGTGTCAGATGTCTGCCCCTCTCCCACTCACTGTCTCTGTGCTCTCAAAACAAATACACTTAAAGAAAAAACAATTGGTAAATTTAAGTATGATTCACACTTACATAATTTCTTCGGTAAAAGAAGAATTACCAAGTACTTATAATTGATCATTTTGAGTGCTATATCTCATTGGGAAAACTGCAACACCTAACATACATAGTTTGTAGAAAAGGCATAGCAAGCCAGTGCCAGAGTCAGTTACAGAACCACCTAAATCTAAACCATATACCCATCTGCAGAATCATATAATTCAGCTATTTATAATATTGTAAATTCTAATAATTTTTTGTTGTTTCAAGTAAAAGGAAAATCTATCACTGCTAACAAATCTCAAGGCTAGCAAGTTCATGAAAATCTCTTCAACTTGTGTGGTATGGTCTGATCCACATTTACAAATATTCTATAGGAACTAGCTAAGTCCTTCTGACTCATTCTCCTTCTGTCAATCACAAAGTTGACAAAGCACAGACATTCGCTTTGTAATAAACACAAATGATGAGGTCATCCAAACTACCTGCCTAAATGACTTCTAAATTGCAACAGTGGGATGAGCTCCCTGAATTCATTGGCTATTTTGGTAACATACAGATACAGTCTCAGACATCATCGGTGTAACTATTTTGGGTTTTGTGGTATTGTGCCTACTAGACATGGAACACATGTTCTGTGTTTCTACCATACAAGGTGAAAGATATCTATGTTCAAACTATTCATTTCCAAATCTTTGGCAAATATCCAGCTCAAGCTCCATTTTCTTTATAATGTTTCCATATTTCCATATAATGTTTCTCATATGTTTTTTTCTGCCTTTAATCATTGCTTATACAACAGTAAAATTAATATAAAACTCCGTATCTTTAAAATTATAGTAAATTCTTAATCTCCTACTATTGTTCTTAAATGGTTCACAATTCACCTATTGCTCACACTGTAAAACAATAAAATGGTTGAATTTAGGGCTAGTTAAATTGTTTTCTTTGGTATGCAACATTGCCTCACCTTAAGTCAGAACATGTTTTTATTCTGGTTGGTAGGTTATGCCCTTATGTTTTCAATTTCTAGCTTTTTAAAGAGTTGAACAGAGAATACTTTTTTAAAGCAAAAATAACTCCAAACTCAATTCAAGCCTCACTGACTTAATTGACAGAAACAAATAAAGCATTAACCATCATGGTTACTATTTGTAAAGTAGACAAGAGTCAAATGCAAACACGTGTTGAAAAATATTCACCCTGGAATCTAAAGCTGGCCCCTTGAAGTACGCGGTATTTTTGGGGTTTGAGAATTTCAATGTTCAGTTTAGTGTTATATTGGCATACAATCACAGAGCTCTCTCTCTTTTAAAAGAAAAATGGAAAGTTTATCACAGAAGTTCTGACTTGAAGATAAAATATATATTGGCAAAATATAGCACAGTGAATCCCTTGGTTACATTAAATTCTTAATATTGGTGATTTTATTTTGGCTTTATGCCTTTTTTCTATATGTATTTTAAATATGCAAATTATTTTTTAACAAAGTCCCTATTACTATTCAGTTACCTACGATGGTAAAAACAGAAAAATACCATTTTTTTTTAAGAAGGAAAAAAAACTGGGCATCTGTTTGACAGAAATGAGTACTTCAAGTACGTAAGTAAATCGTTAACAGAGCTATTATACCCTAAGCCACAGCAGTAACAAAGAAAAGAGCTAGAATATGCATTTTGTATAAAGATTAAATTTCACAACATAATAAATAAATGCACTGATTTATACAACTTGAGAAAACCTTCTACTGATGATCACAAGTAATACTGTCTTATTATTCAGTTTGTTGATATGAGCACTGCCTCACACAGAGATTCAAAGGTAGAATTCTCACCTCCAAAGCCACAAAATATACAAAGCTGGTTTGTTATTAAATATTTTGTCTGCCAAAATTCCTGCAAACTAAAATACATCTTGGCAGTTTGAATAACCAGCAGGATAATTATTTTGGTATCAAAAGATAAGAAAAATTTTAATATGAAAATTAATAAAACCAGTAAAAGGAGAAACCTGTTGTATAAATAGACATTTTAACACAAAGGTGAGACTTTTATCTCACTTAAGAGGAAGAAATAAATTTGATACAACTTACGTGAAGATTTGAAAATAATTATCATATCTTCCCAGCTCTAGATAAATATATTACTCCAATTTATTAATCATCTTCAATATACAATATATAACTCACAAAACTGGGAATGTTACAATACCAAAACCTTTCACAGCACTAGTTACCAGTTACCAGAACTGTAAGAAATCTTTAGCTACATATCAGCTTAATACTTAGAATATACAAATAGATATGGCTAACCTGTGGTAAACAATAGTGCAAACAGTAAGGACCACAAAATATATTTTTTCTTTTTAGCTTGTTTATCTAACTGCATTATCCTACTTCAATAGCATCATCAATGGAATATGAAACTTATCTTAATGCATTTTAAAAGTATCCCTATGTTCTTTTAGGTACGGTTAATTTACCCTTGAAATGCAGTTCCTATGAAACACCCAGGCTATTTATAAATTCCTATACAATGAATAACTTGTAGCTAAAATGAAATATTTTAGGTGGAGTTTTTATAGCTTTTAAGTAGTGGCTTGGTTTCTATTTTTCCAACTTAAACTTGGATATGCATAAGAAATTAAGAGAGAAGATATAAATATATGTAAATAGAATATCTTAGTTACATAAGGGGAATCAATCTGTCCATCTACAGTAGTAATATGGGTCTTTATCTTAAACATTGTTACTGAGTTTAACGAAGTCTCAGTTACTGTTAAAGTTATTTTCCCGAAAATAACAGAAAGAAGTATAGAAATAGGTACAGTCCAGCTGTCTTTTATCTCTCTGTTCTCTGTAATGATAAACATTTACAGTTTTTTCTTCTAACAGAAATATCTGAAAACAAAATCTGAAGACAATAACAAAGAGGAACAATAACAAAGGTAAAGAATCCTTTGGGTATTATAAAAACCAATAATCTTTGCCTTTTTAAAGTTTTGCATATTTCTTTAAGAAGGCATCCGATTGCAAAGGCATTGTGTTACCCATCTGACACGGAGATTGCTACACAAAAGTCACCTGGGAGATGCCATAGCAGAGACGGGTCCCAGGCCCCATGGCCCTCGGCAAGGGGAAGCCAGAGGGGGAGAGGTGAGGCTACCGAGTGCTGTGGGAACTGCCCAGAGAGGTTATTCCATTGACCAATAGTTAGTATTTGAGGAATCTTCACTTTTCACTCTTTCCAACTGACTTTAAAAGCTTGGTGTTTTAAAACTGCCACTTGTATTATTATCAAACTCTGAACCCATGGTTTTACCCAACTTGCATCTGAAAAATGCAGGATGAGTTCGTTTGGCAGGAAGAGGGCAGGAGAGATCCTAAATGTGAAGGTTGAGAGATGTAACATTTAAGGAACTTTAGTGAAAAACTATATCCTTGTAGGATACACATGTGTAGAACATGAGAGTCCACTGTGTTGTCAGTTCAGTCAGAAATAACAGATAATGTACTTTAGAAATGATGTATATATAAGTTTCCACTGTAATTTTCTAAGTCATAGCTTTGCATGAATATTTTCTTTCTTGATGCCTGTTAAAAATAACTTCTATCAAGACTCAAGTGGTGCCCTCTTTATCCATTAAAATTAGCTAAAGAATCTGTAGCCAGTAATGTTTTGGTAAATGATATCAATATGTAAAAATTATTAAGTGCAGGATTACTGACAATATATCATTGGGAAAGATCTTACTACAGAATAAAATAATTTGTATTTTGAGGATCAAAATATATCTCAGGTACTATTTTAAGGAATTATTAACTGTCTGAAAATCAAGATAAATTAGCATTAAAAAAAAAAAAAAGTCCAGCAAAACACGCCTTCCCGAGAGCTTTAATGACACATTCACTTTACTTGGAATCATTTTGGCTCTTTTTTTTTTTTTTCCATGCTTACTGGCTCATTTAATGTGTGTGTGCTCTTTGTATCCTCAAACATGAACTACGTCAACAGGATAATCTGCTGATAAGAGAAAGTGAAATGTACAAGCTGTAGGAGACTGACCTGGTCTTTACTTATCTCCTTACATATTCTTCTGAAATGTTCCCTGTGACTTAAGTTGTGAACAAATGAGAATGTGACATTAGCAAGAAACTGAGCAAATGTATATTGTTAGTGACTTCAACATGAGGTAGGGAGCTGGAGAGAGGCCAGTTACGCCCGCCAGCCCATGTCCTTTCTATCTTAGCTACCCAAATACAACTCCTGGGTAGGTAGAGTTTATCTAGAACCAGAATTAGGAATAAGCATTCAGAAGAAAACTTAGCAAAGGGGATGAATGAGCTAAAGCTCCTTTCTGGGATTTCTAGGAAGTAGTGGGTTGGGGAGTGAGCTATTCGAGGGCTTTTTGAAGCATTCGGATCCCTAATACCTGGGAGCGATAAAATGTGGCTAGGCCAGTGCTAACCACCACCAAATCTTGTTTACAAAGAAGATTGAAATTCAGTAGGTCTGGGGGGACCTGAAATTCTGCATTTCTATAAGCTCCCAGGTGGCATGGATGCTGCTGGCCCAGGGACCATGTTTGAGTAGCAATGATCTAGACCAGTGTTGGCCAGTACGATTTTTGCAATGATGGAAATGTTTAACACCTGCACTGTCTATTGTAGTTACTGCGCACTTGAAACGTGGCTGGTGCAATGGAGAAATTAACTTTCTAATTAAATTAATGTAAATTTAAACAGCCACATGTGGCTAGTGCCTATAATACTGGACAGCAAGGGTCTCGACATTCACAGGTCATCTCTTCTCAGCCAGAGCAATCTATATCACGGTCCCAAAATCATCTAACCCGTCCGTTCATTTAGATCAGCAAGTTTCCTTTTTTAAACTATGAACTGTAAAATTCGTTTTCTTTAAATTGTTTTCTTCCTAGCACTTTGTTCAGAGGATCCGCAACAGGCACTCAAGCGGGGAGAGGTGAAAGCAGTCATTCTGTAGTATGGAAGTTGATGAAGAAAGGGTACCAAAGAGTAGTGAGCATCTGAGCAACCATCACTGCATTGGGCATGTGGGAAATGGGAGGCCAAAAGCTGGCAAGGAAACTCAGAAAGGGAGGTGGAATAACGCTGAAGGGAAGAATTGAGTCCTTTGAAATTTTACTTAGGCCTGACCCTGTCCCTTCCCTTCTTGAAAAGCAAGTTTTGGAATGCCTGGCTGGCTCAGTCACTGTAGCATGTGACTCGGTCTCGGGGTTGTGAGTCAAGGCCCATGTTGCGTAGGGAGATTACTTAAAAATAAAATCTTGAAAAAAAAAAAAAAAGGCAAGTTCTTCCTCACGGAAATAAGACTTGAAGGAAATGGATGCTGGCTGTGATTCCCCTTCACCTCTCCCAAATTATCCAGGTGTGGGAGAGCATAGCGGGGAGGAACAGTACAGTTACAGCTGACAGTCCAGAGTAGGCTTAAGCTTCTCACCTCAGCTTCTGAATGGATCAGGGTACAGAGGCCACAACTGCACTCCCCTGAGCTGGGATCACCTCCCAGAGAGAAGCTCTTTCTACTTTCTATTTATAGCTCCATCTACTGTAAGAAGCTGGCTCCTCTGTGAGGCTGACAGGGGCCTAAGGAGGCTCTGAGGATACCATCTTGGCAAACAGGTGTGGGCAAAGTCATGTGGGTCCTACACAGCCATGCATAGACAAAGCACACAGGAAAGACTGCTCTAATTTAACGACAAAAAAAAAAAAAAAAAAAAAAAAAGATACTGAAATTGTCATTTTAAAGGATTTTCCTCATCCAAAAGCCATCTGCAGGAAGACTCTAGTTAAGAGTCTAGTAACTGAGGTTTTACAACATAAAGAGTTACTACTTAAGAGTAAAAAGATCAACATCAGCCAAAAAAATATTAATCATTTTTATCTTACTCTCAAATTCTGAACATGTAATAGCTTAAGTCTCTTCTGTTGGCAAAGGGGTATTTTGGGTGAGTGAAAATCAACCCAAAATTCATTGGTGAGTCCCATGCCTCTCTGCACCTACATTTCTCTTTTTGGTAGAGCTGGACAGGTATCTGTGACCTCAGCAGAATTCTGAGACTCTGCCATCTGTATTTTAATTTCACAGGGAAGTGCCTGGAAGAGAGCAGGACAACTTGCAGGGGACAGGGGGGTGCGGATTATCAAGGGACTGGAAGAGAAGCCCTTTGATTTCATAGCTGAGGGTAACAATACACTTACTAAGTGAGTGGCTTTTTACTCTTTCATGCTACTTGATATAATTTCCTTTGAAAATTTTCTATTTATTCACAACTGAGACAGGTAGAATATATAGTCAGACATATTTGGTCAGGAACCCATCAGGCTCATTTATTTTTAAGATGTCTTAATTTTGTGATTTTACTAGTAAATATGCAATGTATAAATAAGAATAAAGTGTCAAATGTTTAAACTTCTTTGATACAATTAAATTATGTCTGACAATAGTTCATTTTAAGTGCTTTCCCGTTAATATTTCTCATTAAGCATTTGGCAAATAATGGTCTAGAAAATATCAGTGAGAGTACATTTCAAGATTATGTGTGTTAAGCATGAATATACAAACACGGTATATGTGTATAGACCCATATATGTGTATATGTGTATGTGTGTGTATTTGTATCTACAGAGCACCTGCTTAGAAGGCTACTTCATGAAAATTGTTACCACTGGGTCAATACCCTGTTTACTTCTCTTATATAGGAGGTTTTGAAATATTACAATTAATTTTTGGTACATAACGCCTAAAGAAAGATGGTCTGAGGATATTTTGGTGACTTTTTAACACGTATGCCTTTGGCTTTCAAAGATTTGATAATTGTAATGTTGACTCCTACTGAGCTACACTGAAGTAGAGTGGTTTAGAAACAAGAAAATAATACCTGCCTGATATAAGAATTAGGTGAGATAATAGTAATAATGGTATAAGAATGAGATGAGATAAAAGCCCTTAAGAAAAAATGTAAATCTCTTGTTGGGAAGTTGTGTCAGTAGTCACTCTAGCTAGTGGATAAGTCTGGGTGACCAATTGGCATACGATCAGTATACAAATCCCAGGTGAGACCTTCAGAAAACTGGATGTCAACAGCCCACTGTATTATAAATACAAACAGAGTATTGAATAAACACTAAATTAAAACCAAAGATAAGAACAAAATGTGGGAATTTTGGTTTGGGAAGCTATAACAAGTTTTGTTCGGCAATAGAACACATACTTTTATGAAAATATCCAGAAAATTTTCCTACTGTGCATACCTAGTGTTGATAATAGAGTGACATAAAATTGGCTTGCATAAAATGTGTATCATTTGTTGATTATGGCACAGACACGTGTTCACAAATTCTCAGATACAGAATATTTATCCAAAATCCCACATCAAAGAACAGAAAAGTGCCTTTAACCAACAAAAAGGTACTTAGGCAGTAATAAATTAAATTACATTAAAACTGACATGGAAGCCAAGTTTTAAGATATTACATGTGACATGCAAGAAAAAGAAAGACAATTCAGGCAGGAATGTCGTGCATTAAGATTTGCATTCATTCATAATATTTGAGGGGTTTTAACCATATTCTATGACCACTGAATGCTAGCAAAGTGAGGCGATACCCATCTAACATTCAAAACACAGCTTAATTTACATCTTAATCTCCTAACCAACTATTTTAAGGAAGAAGCCAATGCCTCCAATAGTGAAACCTAAGAGTTTTAGCCACATATTGTTATGCAGTCACAGAGTAAGAACATTCCATCTGACCAGGTATAAAGAAAGTAAACATTTCCATCTTTTAGACAATGCAATTGTCTCAGATTCCTCCTACCTTCTTACTTATATGAGCATATTTTAACATGTCAAGTTTGCACAATAAGGAAATGGCTTTGTGGAATGGAATTTTTTGGCACGAAAATATTTTCTAATACCTCAAATCAAAATTTTCACCCACAGCAAAACATCAAGCCACAGAGGTGCTCAGTGGTGCTTACTTTTCTAGGCAGAAGACTACAGAAACAGACAACTGCTTCCAAGAGCTTTGTATTAAGTAGCAATTACTTCCCTTCCAAGGAATAGCACCAATGTGATTACACCTCAGACTGGGGAGTGCTCCTTCCAAGCTCTTTAATTCCCTGGAGAATTCGCTTCATATGGCCCACTTTCGTTATCCCCAGGTCCTGAAAGAAAAGAAAAGAAAAAAAAAAGAAAAGAAAGAAAGAAAGAAAGAAAGAGGAAAAAAGGTGGAAAGAGAAAAAGAAAAAAGAACGAGAAGGAAAAGAAAGAAGTTTATTGGCCAGAGAAGACCGAGGTTTAAATATTTCACCAGCAAATAGTATAATTAGCATCCAGTTCATTAAGTTTAGTTTATAATCAATGATTTAGGAAGCAAAAACTATAAAAGTCAATTTATAAAGCAAAAATTGCCAACCAGTAAAAAAAATCACATCCTACACAAACTCTTAAACATTAACACTATCATAAATTATACACAATACAGTTCTTCAAGAGTCAAAATTGGTTTCTCCTATTCTTCTTCTTTTTAAAACACAGGTCCTTTTGGGATCTCTGAGAAGAGTGGCATGTGACATCAGGGCATCCACAATTAGTCCCAAGGCAACCATGCACATCCTTCCTAAAGTAGTAAACTTAAAAGTAAAGCCTAATCCTAAAGAAAGATATTAGTGGCCACCACCTACATGTGGAATTTAAATGCATTTACAGTTACATTTAGAGTCTTTGATTTGAGTGGTCTATTTAAATATCCTTTCTACTTTGTAATGCAGAAGTATAAAAAAATTACATAAACATAGCTCTCTGTGGGTTGATGCTTTTCCTCAAAACACTCGTGGCTCCTTTGCCTCAGAACTCTCCTTGTTTCTTACAGAACTGTCTTTCTATAAAGAGCCAAGAATTCAATATTTAGCTTTCAGAAGTGGAGGATGGTTCCAGAGTGTGCAGCACACAGCAGGCACCTGGCAAAGAAATATTTGTTGCAGGAAGGAAGGAGATACACACAAGACAGCCATGATGCTCACTACCTGAAAAACTAAAAGAAAGGGTGAAGGCCTCCAAACCCTGTAATTTCTTTTTTGTTTAATTAGCTTTTTTTTTTAATTAAAAAAATGTTTATTTATCTTGAGAGAGACAGATAGAGACAGACAGAAAGCAAGCAGGGAAGGGGCACAGAGAGAGGGAGAGAGAATCCCAAGCAGGTCCCTCACTGTCAGCACAGAGCCCGACGTGGGGCTTGAACTCATGAAACTTGAGATCATGATGACCTGAGCCGAAATCAAGAGTCGGATGCTAAACCGACTGAGCCAATCAGCCGCCATCACCCACCGCCATAGTTAATTTAAGTGTAATGGGTATGATCGATTTGCTAACAGGTGAAGTCAAACAAATTCTGTATAAAACAGAGGGTTTGGTATATTTGAAAATTAGCAAAAAGATGGCTTCCAAAGTAGCATCGAAAACAGGATTATGAGGTACCACAAAATCATGTGTCTGAGAAGATAAAGATTCCAAATATCCATTCTATTTTGTAGGCTAAGAGCATTATTTATTTTTAAGCTTTAAATGAAATAGATCAGAGTATTTGAAGTACGTGCACACATGTGCTCTCTCTTCCACACACTTTATGGGCTCTTTGAATTCTATAGCAGTAATGCTACTAACACTTTTTTTTTCTGACAATTTTGAATCTTTCTAGAAAATACTTTTTCTACAGCAAGCACACTTTTCCAGCCTGAGATCATTTCTAGGTCATGCTTCTACAATATGTAACTGACCCTGAAAAATATTTTCTCATATGACACCGGGTGATTCTTTTTTATTTTTATTTTTTTTAGTGTCTATTTTTGAGAGAGAGAGAAAGTCAGAGTGTGAGCAGGGGTGGGGAGGGGCAGAGAGAGAGAGGGAGACCCAGAATCTGAAGCAGGCTCCAGGCTCTGCACTGTCAGCACAGAGCCCAGTGGAGGGCTCGAACTCACGAACTATGAGATCATGACCTGAGCCAAAGTCGGACACCTAGCCGACTGAGCCACCCAGGTGCCCCAACACTGGGTCATTCATAACCAGTCTTAAGGAAGTGTGTGCTAAAATAGCAAACTCAAAAGCAAGACCAAAACCTAAAGAAAGATAGCTGCTCCTGCTACCTAAATTTGAGATATAAATGCATTTACAGTTGCATTTCGATTCTTTTATTTGAGTGGGATATTTAAATATTCTTTCTGCTTTGTTAATATAATTATCTGATTAATAAATACACTTAATATTAAATATTTTATTTCAGGCCATATGCACATTGTATTCTTGAGAATAAAAACTTCTCTGGGAGAGGCAGACTCTACTCAGAATTACCAATTTGGTGTAACGAGATGAATGTTTTCCATAGAGTTACACTAACTCCTAGCTGTATTTTCTTTATTTGGGTTCAATACTCTCATGTCTTCTAGGAGTTAGGCTGTGATAAAGTTATGCCATGATATCTGTTACACCTTTCTTATTTTTTCATATTCTTTATTAGTGGCCTTTTCTTTCTTTGGATGAATAGGCCTGATTTGGCAAAAACATACATTGTAGACATTCAGTTACCTTTGTAGCCACACATATGCAACTTTCCAAATGGAAAAAAACAAAAACCAACCACACAAACAAAACCACTGCATCGTTACCATTTTCTTTGGTGTCCCTCACTTTTGCCTACTGTCTTCCTGGAGGTAAAGTAACGTAATCAGTTTATTTGTCTGCTAAAGCACCTTAGAAATATTTTTCCTTTCCCACCTTTACAGGGTCACATTGCTATCTCTAGTCGTCTTGCTAAGAAGAAAGTAACACTTGAGCCAAGATCTGAGCAGGAGTTAGCCAGGTGAGGAGGGGTAGTGAGGAGGGGCAGGCTGGAGTGGGACAGCAGAATAGAGGTTTGGTTTTTGACACGTGAAGACTGACACCCCTGTGTGATAGGCAAGTTTCAAGTAGAGGTGGTGATATAATCCTAGAGCTCTCAAATGAGGTCAGGGCTGGAAATACAACCCTGTGAGCCACTGCCATATTCATGGACCATACCTGAAGCAATGGAAATGGGTAAGATTACCCAGGGAGTAGGTAATCCTTTACCAACATTGGTAGACTTTATGCCAGAAAGTCTGCTCCCTCTTACAGCTACACCCAGAGAGCAAGGGGAGCTCATCTTCTACCTTCATGAAGGCTTTGTCCGACAGCTGGTTCTTTCCGTAAAATTATTTTCCTTTTCTCATTCCCTCAGACCGTGTTTTAGAACCAAAAGAGTTAAAAAGGACACTGTCAATACAGATTTCCAAAAGACAAGTTATAAGGGAAAGAATGTAGTTTGTATTAAAAATAAAAACAAAGTAGGGGTGCTTGGGTAGCCAAGTCAGTTAAGTGTCTGACTTCAGCTCAGGTCATGACCTCACGGCCCGTGACTTCGATTCCCGCTTTGGGCTCTGTGCTGACAGCTCAGAGCCTGGAGCCTGCTTCAGATTCTGTGTCTCCCTCGCTTTCTGCCCCTCCCCACTCATGCTCTGTCTCTGTCTCTCAAAAATGAATAAACATTAAAAAAAATTTTAAAAATAATAAAAACAAAGTAGAACAAAAAGTCCCATGAAAAGCTAAAGAGAAAATTTACTAAAATAATTCTTAACCATTTCCTTTTTACTCTTACTTTTTTCTAGCCAAGTCCTATTACTCTAACTTTGACTTTGCATACGTATGAGCTTTGTTTCTTCATTCTGCAAATATTTGCTTTGCTCACTGTGTATGTGTGTGTCTATTTGTATGCTTATAGGTGCATATACATATATATAACATACAGAGATATATTTATATATACATACACATACAGTCTTTTCCTTTAATATACGCTTACTCATGGCAAATGAAATGTAAAGAGAGACTGGCATAGCATATCAATCAGTAGCTAGTCAATAAATATTGCTGCCTGCCAAGGATATGAGAAGCTATCCTTAGATACAATGATGCCTTACATTTATTTTTTTGTGCACTCATTCCACGTTTTGAAGCCAACCTTTACTCTATGAACTTTAGCACTGTATATTTTGATTTTTTCCAGATTTGGGACTCTCAACTGTGATAATTAATCTACTTCTTTATTATTATTCTGGTTAAAAACATTTACATATAAATGGTGTCCACTTTTAATGTGCTAAAACTGTATGACTCTGCTTTATAAAATCCTACAGATTACCCATACATTGTTCAAAGATCTCTGCTACCGTATTTATAGATAAAGGCACAACAGTTCACAAATTTGTTAGGGATTTACTGTACCATAATTCCATGAGAATCAGAACCTGGCCTACTGGAAAAGGATCACTCCAAAACATATCAAAGGCTTTGCCATTTTCTTATTACTCAATCTTGGAATTTTAAAATGGCAGCGTTTGGTAAGAAAATATAAGATGACAAAATTCTACTCCCAACCTTAAGAGAGAATACTCTACTTTGGCCACTGGCAGTCTCCACCCGAAAAATCCAAGAGAACCACTGCTTACCACTAATTAATGATATTCTTTCTGGTCATAAATGACAAAGGGGCTCTAAGCTGCATTCCAGCAAGAGTAAAACATATTTTTTACTTCATTTACTAAAGAAAATAATACATTGTTGAGCATAATACAATTTTAACAGTAAATCATGGGAAGGGCATTTGAATTTATTGGTCTAGTTGTTCACGTGACTTCTGAAAGGGCAATCAGAAACACAACAAAATCATAGGACTCTAAGTAGCCACTGCTGTGGATCCCTTATTTAGTTCCATATATTAGGAAGACTTTGTTACTGGTATTTTGAATTGATTTTTAGTTGTTAACCTTTGGTTAGATTTTTAAGTCGTCTTCAGCAACAATTACCACCTTTCATGCCGACTCAATAAAGTGAGCTGATGGAAACATGAGCCATTTGGAAATATTAGCACAGGAACAGCCGTATGAATGGATGCAGAGAAAAATTACTAACTTCATGCTAAGCTTTAGCTACAATAATCAGAGAATGATTTTTGATAGGAAAATATTGCTGACATTCTTGTTTAAAAAGCAGAGGAACTCCAACCACAGGACAATGCATATTAGATTACTGCACATTTGCATAACATAAGCCAAGCTAGAAGCACATAACAAAAGAGGTGCAGGATAAAGGATTCTGTTTTGCCAGGAAATTTTCAAAAGCAGAAGAGTAGCACAAAGGAAATACCTTAAGATCTCGCCTTTCCAGATGCAAAAGTTCAGCCCCTCTGATGTCATGACGGATGAAGATTTCTTTGTACTCTCCCAAACTGAGCAGATCCAGCCAAGCAGCAACTTCCTCTGTGCCCCATTTTTGAACTACCAAAGTTAAGAGCAAAACCCCCTTAATTTCTACATGCTCAATGCATTACAAAGCAAAGGTTGGCCAAAGAAGATGCAAAACAGAGTACAGCGGGCAGTGCTAGCAAAGGGAAAGGTTAAAGGTGTTGTTTCAACAAAACTCCAATTTCGTTGTTCCCCATGCAGGTTACAGACCATCAATCAACACAAAGGTCTGACTAGGCAAAAACATTCACTGCTGGGCACCCAAACTACACAATAGGAATAAAAAATGTATTTCTCATGATTAGGATAAATAGTACAAGATCAAAATAAGCTCTGATGATTTCTTTAAGACCATATATGGCACTAATTTAATTTAATTAGCTACAAACGCTAATCAAAATATGAAATCTGAAACAGGGTACTGAATTTTACACAAACTTCTGTTTTGGGTCTTGCTGTCTTCAAGTATCGCCTTTATTGATTCTATTACTATTTATAATTATAATTATTGATAATTACAGCACCAAACGTGTTGTTAGATCATTTTAATGTCCTCTAAATGCCGCCAATGCTTCTAAGATTCGTTGGATTGTTATTTTCCAATGTAGATAATCGTGGTTGTATACATTTTATTCAACGTTGCTTAGCTGAATTAAAGATTATTTATTTGCCCTATTTGGTTTTAAAATGCCCTTCAATAGCTGCTCTACGATTGTCAACAATAAGGTCATGTATCACTTTTTAAAAGGAGTTAGCTAACTCGGAAGAATTATAAAATGACTTGATTATGAAAGGCACCTACTGTCCCATACACAGAACTTGAAGGTGTTTTAGCACAAGTGCAGCATTAACGTTAATTTCTAGGGGAAGGTGGAAAGGGAACCAGACAAACAACATCAAAGACAGAGTTTAATCTTCGCTTGAGAATGCAAATGTCACAGTAGATTGTTACTACTGAGGGAATGAAATGGTGTAGTAAGTCTTTGAAACAGGAGAAAAAGAACAGGTAACTTTAGGTAGAAGATATATTTAGCAAGTTAAAAGATATATTTAGCAAGTTTCTATATTTCATTTATGAAAATCTCGATTTTGAACTCTGACGAGAAACAAGTTATCCACTGATGCCTTGAATTGTTAAGCAAGACAAAGGACCATCTAAACAGATGCACTGATGTCCACTGAAGAGAGTACAAGCAAACCTCGTTTTCTTGTGTGCATAACTACAGGCTCTTACTGGTTTTTGGACTTTGCATGGGTATGATATGATTTACTTTATTATGGTAAAATGAACACAAAACTCTCCATTTTAGCCGGTTTATGGTATACAATTCAGCAGCATTTAGTACATTTGTAATGTGCAATGGTCACCACTAATAGTTCCAGAACATTTTCATCACCTTGGTGACACTGCTTTAATAAGTTATTTTTTCCATAATGTAATACTTTCCCTTCCAGTGTGGATCACCTACCAGGCTGTGAACCTGTCTTCTGTTTCTGAACCTTTTCCTTTTTAAATTTTGGCACTATACGAAATACTGTGCTTCTGCTGTTTCTCTTGGTGCAATCCATGGGGGGTTCCTGTTCGGGTCGAGCAAGAAGAGAATTTTCTCAGGACATTAAGAGAAGAAAAACTCACTCTGATATTACAGACAATGCAGGAATAAATAAATGCAAAACACTTCTTAAAATAAAAGTGTGCAATGTTATGTACTACCGAAGATGTACTGATTCCCCAAAGATACCTCTGTTCATAGAAAAGCCTTTTCTTGTTCTTTTCTTCTTCAAGAACAGCACATTTGAAAGTAGCGTCCAGAATTCATTTTCCCTGGAATGTCCCTTTTTCAAAAGATGATTTCAAATTCTATTGTCAGAAAGTCTACACTTACAAAGAAACAGGCCAGATTTTACATACCTCATCTTCGTTTGGATGTAAGATATAATAAAGCCAAGGAATCTCTGTTAACTTCTGCAACTCCACCTCCACAGAATGTAAGGCATTAGATACCCGCTCTTCATGTGGGGATTCTAAGTGCTGTTTACCAGCAGGTTAAAAAACAAAACAAAACAAAACAAGTCTCAGTGACCAATCTCAAACAGAATAAACATATTTTATTTTTCTAGCAGACATCCTCAACTCTTACTAGGCTAGGTTATTGTTGTTAGTAATATAAAGGAATATAGAAAAGAGAACACATTATTTTATATTGAGCTCATTTAAAAAAAATCTGAATTGATTTATCCGTACTTCCCAAAGACAATATAAGTAGTCAGTGTGACTTTAATAATGTCACAGAAAAAAAAAGTATCACTTTGGGTGGTGTTGTTGGTTTTTTTTTTTTGTTTGTTTGTTTCCTATGTAAATTCTTTCCTCTCCCTCCCTTCCAAACCATGCATCCATCCATCCATTCTGCATTCTGGTAAGTAATCTCACTATTCTACTTATTTGCGGCAGAAATCCTTCTGATTTCCATAGGTCACTACGTAACCAAATAATGCTATTTTAAAACTTGGTCAAAAACATGTCACATAATAAGAACTGGCTGGTACAGAAATCTCCTGGAGAAATAGAAGAATAAGTTTAAGGGGGGGGGGAACCCATGAATCTCAGAAAAATTCGTGACAAAAAGCTGTTGTCAAAATAAGGGCAAAAGCTACATGGTTTGAAATCTGGAAGGGGTTTTGGAAACTTTATAGAGAATTTAACCAGTCACCTATTACCCACTTATTTGAAACAGTTATTAAAAAGCATGTAGAAATTCAATGGTAAAGGTGAAATAAACACTGTTATGTGTAGGTCGGGAAGGGAGGTGACTACATTCTAGTTACTTGTTACTAACTATGCAACCAAAGGAAGGCTGGCTGATTTTAAGAGTCTTAGTTTCTTCCTAAAATAGTATAAAGATTATTTCTAAGGTCTATTCCAGCTAATCAATACTTCCATAAGCCACTTTAAAATTGTAGAGTATCTACATATAGGCTTGCAGAATTTTACACTTAAAGTTCAGAGAAAATGTTACTGTTATTTATTATGGTCATTCTTCCCCAGCGGCCCCCCCCCCCCGTTACTCAAGGTATCTACCATTTCTAGTAGTTAATAAAAATTTGGAGTTTCTCCAGCTTGTCATGTAAAATTCACCATTTCCCTTTGAGTCTAAGCATATATGCCTTGATAAAATGGTATTATACATTTATTCAAGAAGCAAAATGAAGTGTAAACCTTAGTTGATCTCGAATATGAGTGACTGTATTTTCACATCAATGTTATCAAAGGTTACGGAAAAACTCACTGGTATACATTTTAAACCAAACACCCACATTTGACAATGACAGAAGCAGACTGAAATGATTAAAAGTCTGCGTGGGTGGTCCTTCTATGTTAACATAATGTAATTAATAAATATTAACCAACTAACACTCAGAGGGTACTTTCAGAGTAGAGAGCTAAAATACAGAATAACTTATGCTTCTAGTTCTCGTCAATCATAAGTTATCTTAATCATGTTTCAAATAAGGCAAAAAATACATGTCCTTCACCTAAATTTGGGACCAAAGTCACAGCTCATTGGATTTCATTGGACACATTTTAGAAAAGCAGCAAAAAGACTCTGGTTAATGACAGAAGTTCCAAGAATTGGCAAAATGTTCCATTGGTTTTATCATAAAAGGTAACCAGTGTTTCCTCCTAAAAGTTTTTCTCCACAGCCAAAGCATTAGCAGCCACCTGTGACCCAAGGAACTTATATTTCAGCTTCCTCTGGAGGTGGGTAAGAGCAATGGACACCATTCAACCTTTATATATTCACTCTTCTCAGAGTAGAAGATGCTCCAAGGACGCTCTTCTGGACCCCAAGCAAACAGAAATTCCAACCACAGTCACTTAGTTAGCTAGCTAGCCTGTGACACACCTCCCATTTTCCCACTAGGCCAGATACTATGACTTTTACTACCACTTTTATTTAGGTGTATATTTTCCAAAGCAAGAGATAATATTAGTCAAGAGAAATGTTTTAAGATCACCACCGATCAGTTAATCAGAATTGTTACAAGGAAGTTAAAAACAGCTAACACATTTAGGCTTTCTACACAGTTAGGACAGCACGCGTGAAAACCCACAAGTGAACACTAGGTGACGAGAAGACCCAATATTCTAGAACATTTGAAAAAGGGGAGAGAAGAAAGGCTGACCGGTCAGACTCTGGGCAAACCAAACAGGATGTCCGTGGAACAGTTCCACTGTAGCACTTATGCTTGAGGTCCATGGACTGTGGTTAGACTCACACCTGCCCTAAATTTGATTTCCAGGACCACTCTGAGTTAATCTAGGGATATGGCTAGTTCTTGAATTTAGTTCTTGAAACATCCAGTCTAGAAAGAGTTGCCCTTTAAGCAAATCTAAAAATCATACCAATCACATTTCAAAATATCATGTTTCAAATCTATCAAAGCTGACTGGGGACAGTAGATGTTAACATAGATCATAGACATACATAGACATACATAGACAGTAGATCATAAAAACATGATGGCATCTGCGAGGGGAAACTTCTCCTCCTGTTAGCCTGAATCGTTACTCCCTGGTTTAGCCATGTCCTTTCCTGAAGGCAAAAGCTAGGTACAGAGAAAGCTGTAAGGATGGAGGCCAGAAGGCTGATCCTGCCTTAGAATCTGATGAATGCATGCTCCTGACTGAAAGGGAGGCCCATACATTGATCATCATTCTTGTGTTATCAGTCGTTTCCTCCTTACCAAAGGAACCCTGCCAACTAGTAAAGATTCTGTTTCATTATACAGTGCCTTCACATTGATGGCTATTTCAGTGGCAGTGTCTCTCGTAAGACTCTAGAAAAAAACACAACAACACATCAAAGACAAGTAGTTCTGTATTAAATTGGGATTCAATCATCAGCAAATACCTTAAATTTTATTCTTCCAAGAAATTCACATCACAAATGTTTTTAAAAACCTACCAAATTTGTATCGTCATTGAATAACTTCACACTCATGTTTGTTAGTATGATTACTTCTTCTGACCTTTACAGCACAGAACCAAACAAATGCTCTGACTGTACTGATACACTCAGGACCAGATCTCCTACGTACAAACGTGTGCCTGCTCCCAACAACATACACATATTCCCACAAAAAAGTTAAGTCAAAGGAAACGATGCCTTAAAGGGGCATTATCAGATCATAGTCAGTTCTATCCACTGACTTTGACTCTCAGAAGTTCCAACCAGATTGCTTTCTTAGCACTTATCTATTAATTTAGGTGACTTCCATCCAATAATTAAAAAGAATAAAATGATGCTATATCAGTTTTCTGTACCCTACAGTCTTGTACTGTGAATCACATTTCAAGAGAGTTATATTGTATCCCTTTTATTCACTATTAATGTGTACATTAAAAAGTTTACAGAAGTTAAAAAATTGTAGTCTCTACATTAAACATTACCAGTGTAGTAGAACAAAATGAAGTGAGAATAGCTTCTGTGTACAACTTCAACAATGAATAAACATCGCTAGTAAAATACATAGTATCTACCTGTGCCCACATCGAGGTGTAGGGGAGAAGGTGAAAGAGAGGACAAGGAGGAATGGTAGCAGCCCAAACAGAACGAGTGGAAGGAAGATGGCAAGGTGACAGATGACTGAGAGTGAAGTGTGTGTGGGGGGGGGGGGGGGGCGGGAAGAAGAGAATTTAAGAGCAGGAATGGAAAAATGGCAGGAAAAGAAAAATCAGGAAAAATGTGGGCACAGATTTACCATAAGCTTCTGGCAGACACTCTTATAGATGTCTAATGTTTTTCAAAGTGCGTGGCACATTGCACAGCATCGAAATACATGTGTAATACCAAACAATCCGTAGAATAAGAATTTACCATGAGCTCCTCACCTCTGGGAACCGCGGGTTGGCTTTATTCAGTGCGTGGGAACACGCATTCACAGCGTGGGCCAGTTCTTGTTCCAAAAGACAATGGATGGTGGCTGCGTCACAGATCCTGAAAGCAAAAGTAAAGCAGACGAACCAAAAAAACTTTGAGCACTGCTGATTTTTCTCAAGTGCAGAAGTGGTACACTAAGGCAAGTAATAATAATAATAATAATAAAAAGTCATTACAGAAATTTTTTTAATGAGTGCTCAATTACGAATAACAAAGGGTAAATTTAAAAACTTCAAACCCCATTGCGACAAAAACTACTAAACCAAAAATCTTTTCTTTTAATGTTTTTTTTTTATTTATTTTTGAGACAGAGAGAGGCAGAGCATGAGCAGGGGAGGGGCAGAGAGAGAGGGAGACACAGAATAGAAGCAGGCTCCAGGCTCTGAGCTGTCAGCACAGAGCCCAATGGGGGGGGGGGGGGCTTGAACTCACAGACTGTGAGATCATGACCTGAGCCGAAGCCGGACGCTCAACCGACTGAGCCACCCAGGCGCCCCTAAACCAAAAATCTTAATAGGAAAAGTTAGGCTGAGCATCACAGATAAACAAATTGAAGTGCTATTTGGAAGAACAAAATATAAGAACACTTCATTTTGAAGTATCATTGTAAAGTGACACAGGTCCCAAATGTGGGGAGCAGAAACTTAATCTTTTATTCATTGAAGCTTCGACTAGAAAGAAATAGAATGGATGAAGGGAAGAACATTGCTGTATTTGTCATCTATTGCTAAAGTTCTTTACAGACATTATCTAATTTAATATTCACAACTTAAAAGGTAGCTGTGATGAATTTTCTCTACTTTATAGACGGAGACCTTGAGGCTTGGAGAGATTCAGTACGCATACAAAGCTAATTAAGTAATAGAGCTAGGATTTGAATCTATGTCCATCAGTTCCAAAGCCTGTTGTGCCACAGTCCTCTAGAATCTCAACCTTCAAGAATGTCCTGAACAGACAGGATCCTGGAGGGCACTCAGGCCAAAGAAGAGAAAGGAGGAAAAGTTCCACCAATTGCTAGAAAATGATGGAAAGTTTGCAGATAAGCAAGAAAGCCAAACTATTCAAATCCTGTTTCTGGCATCTTCAAGGAGAACGAGCTACACACAAGAGAAGAGACTAGTCCTGTATGGTTGAACCAAAAGTAAAGGAAAAGAGTTTAAATCTTAAAGATGATACAATGGATATCCAAGCCACAAAGGAATTTGCAAATGTCGTCTCAGTAGTGCTACCAATAATCTTGAGAAATGATGAAGAATGGGGCATTTATCAGAAGGACAGAGGTGGGTAAAAGTTATTCTTTCAAACAAAGGAAAAAAGGTAAATCGATTTCAGATGAATACTTCAACTGCCTACTAAATCTAGAAATTTCCAGTGTAGTTTAAATTCTGTAAGTCCAACATAGACCCTATCATTTTCCCCTCTCAAATCTCCTTTTCCTCCTGAATCCTATGGTTCCCTGAAAGGCTCCATAATCCATCCAGCCACTTGGTAGAAACCTTAGAGTCGCCCTGTCTCATAATTCAGGCCATTTAGCAAGTTTAGATCCTAATCTATCTTAAGTCTCTCTTCTTCCCATCTCTATTACCTCAATCAGCTGTTTCCCGTCAGGACCATTCCAAGAGTGTTCACCCTGCCCCTGCTTTGCTGTCTTGCAGACAACGCTCCACATTGCTTCCAGAAACATTCTGATAAAGACTTGGCTCTTCTTCACCTCTCCATCCACGTATCCCACTCTATCACATATACCATGCCACCCTGGTTTCCTGAGATTTCCTAAAAATACTATGCACTCACACTCCTCTGGGCCTCTGCCCAGGCTTGTTCCCATGTTTACAATGCTCCTTCTCTTACTCTCCGCCAAAGACTTGGCTGGAGATCACTTCTTCCAGGCAGCCCTCCCTTACTTTTGTGGCCTCCTCTGTTCATCCGCAGCGCCCCACTGTGAGTCTTGTAAGTCCTTTGGCCACACTTTTCCCTACTACCCTGCCAGCAAATTAAGAAGAGGGACCACAACACAGCCATTTTGTCATCCCCAGGGCTTAATATGGAGGTTGGCATGTAGCAAAGACTCAAAATTATTTGCTGAATATTAAATGAGTAAGTTTTGAAAATAGATGAGTGAGCCTGATTTTCATCTTTTACAAAATTAAACAAACAGACTAGTGAATATATGGGGAACCAAACTAGGTTGACCAAACTAGGTTGACCAAGTCTGGCCAACCTTCACTTCCCTTTTTTTGATAAGGTTATTTGGTTAGTTGACAGGAAGTTAATATAGGAAGTATATTCGGTTTCAAGGGAGATAATATAGGAAGTATATTCTGGTCTCAAGAAAATGCTGTAGCTCTATTTTTGATTTTTTGAAAAACCACCATATTGTTTTCCATCATATGTTAATTAGCTTGATTATGGTAATTATTTTACAATGTATACATATGTCAAATTATCACATGTATACCTTGTGTATATAAGTGATTTTATTTGTCACTTATCCCTCACCAACCTGGAAAAGAAACAAAAACAACCCCATTGTAACGTGGAGTCCACAGAAGTTGTTTGTAGTCCCCTAAAATTAATCTCTCTGTGAATAAGAAGCTGGGAGGTACAGTAATGCAGTTCTGTGCATATAGCTGCCTATTCATTTTCCTTTACCTTGCTTCGAAGCTACTTAGTATCTTGTAGTTATACTTTATTCTAATTCTGAATGTTGGTCTCCACCTATAGGGAGGAATGCATATCTTTTCTCTTATATCTCCAACTTCTAGTACATTCTAGGTTTCTAACAAATATTTAAAGAGCTTTGCTTTCCTTCTTTTCTTTTTCAAGATTTTTATCAGTGACCAGATGAAGTGTGGGAAGAATAGAATAGCTACCACTACCAGAACACTAAATAGGCCAGACACGATGCGACAAGACACGGTGGGTCTCATTAAACCTTCACAAAGACGTGCAAAGTTAGCTCTTATTATCCCCATTTGGTAGAGAAGATTTAGGTGAAGAGGTGGTAAGCAACTTGTCCATGGTTGCCCACCCCCCCTTCCTCCATTGAAGTTTACTCCTGCTCATAGTGATTTATATCTGTTCTACATTCATGGAACTTGGTTTTTTGCTTGTTTGTTTAATCTTTTCCTTTTTTGTCTACTAAAATTAATTTCTGTGCTGTCTCCCAATCTCCAGATATGTCTTTTGGAAACCGATTCTCAGACTCTTCCCACCCCCACACCCCCAAACCTCCTTGCAAGCAGGATTAATGTCTGTATTTCTTTCTACGTTCCATAACCATTTAATAATTACAAGGTAACATATCAGTAAGTAGTATAGTGTAAAGATTGTGTAAAACTGGGGAAATAAGCAATAACAGAAAGAGCATTGTGTGTTAGGTAACATTAGGCAAGCTCCCCACTGGGGTTCAGGAAGTCCAAGGTCTGTTCGACAGAGAACACAGGGTGTGCACCTGTACGTGTTGGCGGGGGTCTAATGAAGGAGCGCAGTCCTTAAGGAGTCATGAATGAGGCAGCAAATGCGGAAGGGGAGTAAATGCATCTCTCTTAGATACCCCCGAACAACTCAAATTATGTATCAAAAGTAAAAAAGCACATTTGCCAAGGCTAGAGTTCTCCCCGACCACAGCCGGCAGGCCCACCATACCTAGTGATGAGCTCCTCTGCCGCCTGGGAGCATAGCTGCATCTGGGATACCTCCTCTGTTGCCAAGTCAACGGCATGCTGGATGTACAAATGGGTTCGAAGAACTGGTTTACCGGAATCACACTTCTGTTTATCTTCCCAAGATTTTAGAGTGCTTTCAAAAGCCTATTTACAATATTGCAAGGAATTGTTAGTTTGAAGCTCTGAGATCCAAATAAGTGTGTATTTAGATGTTACATGAATGACTTTGAAACTATTGCTGTTTTCCTAATCTAAAGCCTCATTAAAAAAATCATAAGATACAAAAAAGGTATCTTAAAGTTTTCCAGTGTTATCAGAATACGTAATGTGATCAATGACAATGAATGTATCACTGAAAGTTTTTAAAAAGACAGCTTCAATTTATGCTTCAATCTTTACATGCATAATGGATAAGATGGGTGTTGGCAGTCTTATCTGTTATGGGTGTAACCTTAATTAAAACATGTATTCTGGAAAAGGCAAAACTGTGGAGGCAGTAAAAAGGTAGATGGTTGCCAAGGGTTGAGGTAAGGGAGGGAGTGGTGGATGATAGGTGGAGGACCGGGAATTTTTAGGACAGTGAAACTATCCTGTAGGATACTATAATGGTAGATACAAGTGATTACAGATTTATCAAAAACTATAAAACGTACAGCATGAAGAGTAAACTATGAACTTCAGTTAATAATTATCAATATTGGCTCATCAACTGTAATAAATGTACCACATTAATACAACATGTTAATAATAAGGGACTATATGTCCATGAGGCAAGGAGGTATATGGGAACAGAATTAGAATTCTCAGTATTTTCTGATCAATTTCTCTGTAAACCTAAAAGAAACAATAAAAATATAGTCTATTAACTTTTTTAAAAAATTAAATGTTCATATTTAAAACTACAATGACTTGTCAGATTTAAGAGATAATTTAAATATTTTTCCGTGGTTTCTATTTTTCGTAACAATTGAATATTTTTTAAAACTCTTGATAAAAATCTAGAAGAATATTTTTTTACATACCCTGTCCCTTGTTAGCATCTGAGCTCTGTTTTTGTGCACAATTTTGATAATCCCTGGAGGCTGAACCCATGCTTCGCCATCTACCTGCACTGGGACTCCCTCATCACCAAATATAGTGATTTTTACTGTACGGCACTGAAATAAAACAAGTCATTTTAGAGAACAAATCATCCTGAGAAACCGACAATCGGCATTCAAGCTTGACTTTTGGTCCATTCCGTGGAATGGAATGTCTATTTTTCCACTTACCACGGCACGGTAACAACTGACACGACAAGAAAGTTCATATTTTATAGATGAACAGACAGCGTAGGAGTCATTTGGAATAGCTTCCCCAGTGGCCCGAGTAGTGAGGTCAGGTCTGATCAGAGAAAACAAACCTGGGCTATTCGATGATGCTGCAGTTTAATGACCCTGGAAACTGCCATTTGCATGCTATCAAATATTGCAACGACTTCCAGGATCTTGTCATCAAATGATGGTGCAGCAAATATCTGAAAAGAAAACCTATATTACATTTCCCCTGATGAGGTTAAGGTTTCGATGAAGTGGCACATCAGCAATGTAAAGTCTGCAATATACATAGTAAAACCTACAGAAATAGTAAGCAGGAAAGTAAGTCAATTTTAATAGGAAATGATAGTCCAAGGACCACCCCCCCCAAAAAACCCACTGTAGATGATTTAATGTAAACAAACTTAATACAAAAGATTTAAAACCCACATGGATAAAATGTTCATGCCGTTCATAAAGCACTCTTTAAACCAGTGAACTATTCTATTCTAAATAATCCATCTTGGGGGGACCTGGGTGGCTCAGTTGGTTGAGCATCTGACTTTGGCTCAGGTCATGATCTCCCCATTTGTGACTTCGAGCTCCGTGTAGGGCTCTGTGCTGACAGCTCAGAGCTTGGAGCCTGCTTCGGATTCTGGGTCTCCCTCTTGCTCTGCCCCTCCCCTGCTCATGCTCGGTTTCTCTCTCTCTCTCAAAAATAAAATAAACATTAAAAAATTTTAAATAATCCATCTTGGCATAAAATGCATCGAATATCTGTTCACACATAACTCAGATGTCTTGACAAAATGATGCATGTAATTTCAGGAAACCTAAAATACCCAGTTTACCTGGCATATTCTAAGGGAACTCCTTCAATGTTTACAAGCAATATGTATAATGTGCTTTATATATTAATATGACAACTTTTTAGGGCATTTGAGAAGAGGTAACAGACACCTCAGAGGATAAAAATGATGCAGGCTTACTTTGCTTTGATGTTAAATGCATTCCCACAAAATCAATTTAATCAAACAATTTAAATTCTGGCTGTCTTACTTTGTCCCCTTTATTCTCTCTTTGACTATATGATAAACAATTATGCCTCGGAAAAAAAAATTATTCAGCATAAAGCAGTATCTAAATTAAAACTGAAAATATCAGGGCATGAATTTGCAAACATTGATGATTTCTTGTCATTAAAAAAATTTTTTTTCAATGTTTACTTATTTTTGAGAGACAGAGCATGAGCAGGGGGTAGAGAGAGAGGGAGACACAAAATGCCAAGCAGGCTCCAGGCTCTGAGCTGTCAGCACAGAGCCTGATATGGGGCTCGAGCTCACAAACCGTGAGATCATGACCTGAGCTGGAGTCAGAGGCCTAACTGACTGAGCCATCCAGGTACCCCGATTTCTTATCATTTTTGTTAGCAGACTGCGTGGTTTTATTTTTTTAATTAATTAATTAATTAAAATTTTATTTTTTAAATTTACATCCAAGTTAGTTAACATATAGTGCAACAATTATTTCAGGAGTAGATTGAGACTGCGTGGTTTTAAATCCTGTCTGTGCTACTTCCTGTGTGAACTTTGTGTCAGTTTCTTCACTGGTAAAATTTAGATAAAAATCGTGATTGTCAGTAATGAATGTGAAGCTCTCAGAACACTGTCTGATTACCTAGGAGGAGTCATTAGCTTTATTTACCTTTATCGCCTTGATTTCTTCCCTTTAAGATATTTAAGAGTGGAAGAGTAGTTACAGGCTGACAAAAAGTTCACAGCTAATGTAAATTTTATAGTTGTTACATTATTTACATTATTATATGCGTTACATTGTTAAGTTGTGTTTTTTTCTCCTTTGGCAGGAAAGTCTAAAAGGACGAAAAACACAGACCTAAATGTTAACGGCCAAATGAGCCCTGTTAACATTTCTAAAAATAAAAATAATAGCCACATAGATGTAGAGTTAAAAATACAGAAAGGTGGGGCGCCTGGGTGGCGCAGTCGGTTGAGCGTCCGACTTCAGCCAGGTCACGATCTCGCGGTCCGTGAGTTCGAGCCCCGCGTCGGGTTCTGGGCTGATGGCTCAGAGCCTGGAGCCTGTTTCCGATTCTGTGTCTCCCTCTCTCTCTGCCCCTCCCCCGTTCATGCTCTGTCTCTCTCTGTCCCAAAAATAAATAAATGTTGAAAAAAAAAAATACAGAAAGGTATTTTGGCAGGCAGAATAACGTCTCCCTTTCTACCCCAAAAATGTCCATGTTCAAATCTGCAGAAGTAGTGAATGTTACTTTACGTGGCCAAAGAGACTTTGCAGATGTGGTTACAGGGGGATCCTTGAGAAGGGGAGATTACCCTGGATGATGCAGTGGGCCCAATGTAATCACAACAGTCATTCAAAGTGGAAGAGAAGGGCAGGAGGGGAGATCAGAATGATGCACTGTGAGACTCAACCCGCCTTTGTTGGCTTTGGAGACGTTGGAAGGGGCCATGAACCAAGGAATACGGGCAGCCTCTGGAATCTAGAAGGCGCAAGGAAATACTTACATCATCTTCTTTAGTTCCACCCCAAAAGTTGGTGCCTCCGGCATAGCTGGGAATGTTCAACACTGCTATTCCTTGCAGACTGGGGAGAGGGATATACTGCCCATCACACTGTAAGGTAAAGAGCTTAGAAGTTAGAGAAAAAGAGCAAAACCACTAGTTGGGAAGCCACTAGAATGCCAAAGACAAAGGATGATGGAGGGAAGTGTGTTGGTAATGTTTGCTCTCCTGGAAACATATTCCTACACATTACCTTTATCTTATTTTTTTAACTAAAAAAAAATTTAAGGTGTAAATTACTATAGTTGTTACAGAAAACCAACCTTAAAAATATTAACGTTTCTGCCCAGATCAGGCGGCACTTTTCTTTTTTTTTCAAGTCACTTACATTTTCACTTGTATTAGGGTCATCTTTGTGCTTATTATAAGCATCCTTTTGAAAGCAAGCTGAGTGAGGGCGTCTGGGTCCTAGCCACCCCATCTAGCCCCTCTCAGAACTCCTGCTACTGGGCTGCCACTCTGTCACTAACGGTGGCTGGCCAAAACTCCGGGTGAGTTTCTCCAGTAGCCAAAACCAAAGCCAGGGAGAGAAAAACCATGCATGTCAGGAAGTATCTTATACTTACTGTGTCTTCTAATTAATCACAAAAATGAAAACTAAATTACCACTGAAATAGGAAACAAATATCATATGGCTGGTGAGTAATTATACGTGACATGTAAGTCAATTCTCAATCCTTCACCTTAAAAAAGAAGAGCTTGCAGATGTCATTCTTAAAATAGGGGCTATATTGTCATTAAATAATTCCTGCAGTAAAAGATAATTAACATAACTTTATAACATTGCCTTTTAATACCCAATCAAAATCGTCTCCACTCCTTAGAACAAATGAGAATCCAATTCCAATCCATATTCAACCACTTGAAATAACTGAGAACATTTTATGCTTGATTGTACTCCTATAGGTATTTTTTCCACCTTCTTTTCTTTTTCATAAAAACACATTCAAAGGTCTATACTCTATCCAAAGGGCCAAGCATGGTACCCAGCAGGTGCTCAATGTGTATTTCTTAAAATGAACACACATTAAGTATTTAGTAGAATAATGAACTTTTTCTGAATCCAATAAACTGAACAGGCAGCTCTGTGTGCTTTAGAACAGCTCTTCAAATCATATCACTAACTTAAAGGAAATGGAAAAAATGCCAGTAACATCCATCTTAATTTTTAAATATATTTTTTAATGTTTATTTATTTCTGAGAGAGGGAGACAGAGCCTGAGCAGGGGAGGGGCAGAGAGAGGGAGACACAGAATCCAAAGCGGGCTCCAGGCTCTGAGCTGTCAGCACAGAGCCCGACGCCAGGCAGGCTCGAACCCAGGAATCACGAGATCATGACCTGAGTTGAAGTCAGACCCTTAACCGACTGAGCCACCCAGGCACCCCACATCCATCTTAATTTTATAAGCGGTGATAAATCAAACTAGCTGATCATGTGGTTATGTTCTAGTGTGGAAGGCATAACGGGTTTATCTTTACTAAAACATTTAGTTGATAATGAATGAGCCAGTGCTCATTCCAGTATTAAGATAACACCTAAAATAATAACACTCTGTTTAATCTACATACTTCTCTGTATGTAGGCGATACCTTAATTTAAAATATCTGGCTATAAAAAGACACAAGAAAGAAAGACATGCATATTGGCATAAACTATGAATCCTGGACCAAGGGTGAAAGAAAATAAAAGTCACAGAAGTTAGTAGACTTTTCAGAGCCATGTCTCCAACCATCTTTCTCCTCTTATTGGAGATTAAATAACTTTTGCTGTCCTCAATTTCCCATTTAAATTAGTAAAAAACTACTGAAAAATTTAAATGCTCAAGATCTCTTTTTAGTTTACTAACTATTGTTAGAAATAATTGGAACGAATATACATTTGAATTAAGAGTCTATTTACTATAAATGTTTTTTTCAGGGATTTCTGAAACATCAGGCCATCATAGAATTGGGTCAAGATTTATAAACTTAAATGAGAAAATCTGTGAGAATCTGTTACAAATGCTCTCCTATAAATGCACTCTCATGGCTGCACCTTCTCACGGGGCACCAAGACTCCACAGTAGCATCCAAATTTCAGGCGCCAATGATAATGATAAGTGTATTGGTCATATCCAGGGTCTAGCCCTCCCTTAGTATAAAGTTGGTAATCACTTCCACTGAGTGTTTAAACACTCAGAGAGGAATTGAAGCCAATTGAGTTGCCCAAATGAAATTATTTTTCTAAGTAAGATAACATGAAATATCTTTACTTCAAGATGAACTTACCTCAAGTTGAACTCTCTGTTCTAAATTCTTATACGACCTTTGTAATAACTCCCGGGTTCCGAGGACTCCATACCACATCAAATTTTTAGTTCGGCTCCTGAAAATAAATATTGGCAGACATTTCAATAGCTATTATTTATTCATCTTTAAAGGCAGAGCAAGCAAAAGAGGTAATAAATGAAATTAAAGTGAAATTGCCTGCCTGTAATAACATTATAACTATTACCCAAAATTACCTGCATTTTTCAGGGTGTTCTTCTCTCTTATTATTAAATTCTAATGAAATTTTTGCATCTAATCCAATCCCAAAGTAATTGTTCATGACACATTTTTCTGAATATCCATCTCTGTGATAATATGGAAAAGTACATAAGAGTCAATTTCAGATTCATAACAATTACAACTTGCACACAAAACAGCACTTAAAACCATTTAAGTTTCCATTCCTTACAGAAGAGAGTAAAACTTAGCAGGAATTATTTCCTGTTCATATGCCATGTGTACAACCCCAGTACATATGTGTAATTTTTGGTACATGTGGTAAAAGGGATAGGGGGCCACGCAGAGACAGAATCATAGTAACGCTTTTCTAAAACTTGTAATAAAACCTTGGTTCTTTTACTTCCTACGTGAGCCCTTTACTACATACATAAGTGGGAGGGTCTTGCAGTCAGGTGCCAATCCTCCTTTCTTGATCATTAGAAAGTCTCATCCGCTGTACTCTTATCAATGGACAAACTATATGTTAACTAACATGAATTTAAATTAAAAAAATATGGTGACATCTTTGAGGAGTGTCATTAGAGAAATGAGATGTAAGAGAAAGATTATATGCAGAAGTAAAAGTTCATACTGAACTGCCAAAAAAAAACACCCGAAACAAAAAACAAACAAAAAAACACCTGTACTTTTAAGAAGGGAAGAGATCAATGTGGGCCAGATGCTTCCTGAAATAAATAATACAGTATTACAGGGAAGAGTGAATACAGGTATGCCTCATTTTGCCATAGGGAAATGGGCTAGACAGGACCTACCTCGAGAACAGATCCTGAAAACAACTGTGTTTCAAATGCATCAATGTACTCATCATCATCAACTTTTGAAATTTTCTGATGACCCCCTTTTTTTTTTTTTAGCGTTTATTTATTTTTTGAGACAGAGAGAGACAGAGCATGAATGGGGGGAGGGTCAGAGAGAGAGAGGGAGACACAGAATCTGAAACAGGCTTCAGGCTCCGAGCTGTCAGCACAGAGCCCGACGCAGGGCTTGAACTCGTGAACCACGAGATCATGACCTGAGCCGAAGTCGGACACTTAACCGACTGAGACACCCAGGCGCCCCTGATGACCCTTTTTATATGGGGAAGCATATTTCTTGTAACGCATTGACAATTTTACCGTTTGTATAAAGTAGAAACAAGAAAAGTCAAAACGAGATATTTACAAAAGTATTTCCTTACACGGAATCTGGATCTGGGTCAATAAATGGCGTTGCACCAAAAGGATCAATATTTGCCAGTAACATCTTGTTGATAATAGAACTCCCAGCAATTGAGGCAGCTAATCCTGCTCTTAAACCTGGACAGAAAAATAAATACATACAGGATCACATGTTAAGAAAAAAGATAAAGAAAGAGCCAGTGCATTGTTTTCAGGCTTCATCTCAGATACCTTGCCCCCAAAGCATGATTTTCAGTGTCTAATCTTCTCATTATTCAAAACCAAAAACTATAACATTGGTGATTACAACCAGGATCCATATGTTGTCATAAAAAATGCAGCTGATGAAGACTCAAATAAGAGTCTCTTTGTGACAGTTTCTCATTTACCATTCTAGTGATTCTATACTTCAACAAGTAAATATTACCTCCTATGTTACAGCAAATAAGGCGGTAAATGTAAGGAATTTGCAATAAAGGCTGAATTAGCAAGAATGTCACGGTGTTACTACTTCCATACGCTCAAAACATAGATAATAATATTCAATCAAAAGTATTAACAGATATACTAAGTGAAATCCCAGTGTTGGTATCAACGGTAAGTATAAAAATATTAAGCACAGGTATTTAAGAGCAGTATTGAACGCAAAAAAGTGAAGCATTTATCTTACCTCTACATATGTAAAACCTCAAATTTATTTCAACAAGCAGTTAGCTTTCTACTAAGTAGTTAAGATATTCAAAGCTAATCAATTTTATGATCTACCCAACCCAAAACTGAGGCTAGAAGCATTAAACTCTGCAAAGAAGAAAAATAACAAGGGCCTAAGGGAATAAACAAACAAAAAGGAAAGAATAGTGAAGAAAAGTATGTCCTGGAATTGAGAACCACTAGGAAATTAGGGAAAAAGTCCTTTTTTTAAGCCAATATTCCTTTCCTCAACAGTGTGGTCTTCTAGAAGATCATTATTCATTATTTCAGCTACAAAGTTTAGCTGGTTATTAAATAATCAAAATGAATTTCATTCTGTCATTTATTTTCATAGTTTTGAATCTGCCACGGCCGACTTAGTTATGCCAGTTTCTTTTATGTCTACATAAGTAAATAAATGGACAAAGCCACTATTTTGGTAAGAAAAGAAGCACACTTCAGACAGGTGAAGAATCAGGCTCCAGCCACAGAAAAGGATAATATTTTCTAAAATGTTTTAAGGTCAGGCATATTTACAGCTTTAGCCAGAAAGGTCATCTCATGGTTTCAGGTTTGAATAGAAATACAACCTCTAGACGTGGAGGTCTTTTTCCAGAATCAAACATGTTATGGGTTTATCTACTTTAATATTTCACTGAGATATAATTCACATACCATGAAATTCACCTTTTAAGTAAGTGCATAATTTGGCTGTTTGTAGTATATACACAAAGTTGTGCAATGATCACTACCATCACATTTAGAACATTTTTTATTACTCTACAAAAAACACCCCGTACCTGTTAGTAGTCATTTTCCTTGCCCCCCATTCCCCACATCCTCAGGCCCTGGAAACCACTCACCTATGTTCTCTCGGGACTTGACTACTCTGGGCATTTTATATAAATGTAATCATACAGTATGTGGCTTTTTATGTCAAGCTTCTTTCACTAGGCATAATGTTTTCAGAGGTATTCATGTTGCAGCATGTATCAGTGCTTCATTCTTTTTTTTAAAGATTTTATTTTTAAGTAATCTCTACACCCAGCATGGGGCTCAAACTCACAACCCTGAGATGAAGAGTTGCATACTCCCCTGACTGAGCCAGCCAGCACCCCCGTTCTTTGTTCTTTTTAATAGATGACTAACAGTCCACTGTATGGATATTGTACATTTTGTTTTTCCATTCATCAATTGATGATTATTTGGGTTGTTTCTTCTATTTGGCTATTATGAGTAATGTTGCTATAAACAGTAACGTACAAGTTTTTGTGTAGACGTGTATTTTTACTTCTCATGGGTGTATACCTAGTAGTGGGTTTTTGGGTTATATGTTAACTCTGTTTAATTCTTTGAGGAACTGCCCAACTGTTTTTGCAAAATGGCTGCATCATTTCATATGCTAACCAACAGAGTATAAAAGTTCCAATTTTTCCACATCCTTGCCAATATTTGTTATTATCTGCCTTTTTTGATCATAGCCATCCCAGTAAAGTGAAGTGGTATTTCATTGTGGTTTTGATTTGCATTACCCTGATGACTAATGAAGATGAGCATCTTTCCATGTGTTTATTGACCACTTGAATATCTTTTTGCAAGAGATCCTTTGCCCATTTTTAAATTGAAGTATTTGTCTTTACTGTTGAATTTTAAGAGCTCTTTATATATTTTGAATACTAGTCCCTTATCACATATACTATTTACAAATATTTTCCTTTATACTATGGATTGTCTTCTTTCTTTCTTCCTTTTCATTTATCCTTTTTCATTCATGAGAGGAGAAAGTTTCATGGAAAGCCACAACAATCCAGAATCTGCAAAAACTAAAAATCAATGTATCATTTTGATAATGGCATATTGTCAGTTCATCAGACCAACTACCCCTCCTCACTTTGAGGGAAAATTGAAAAGCTGAGCAAAATGTAAAATGAATTTATTTGAAGATCATTAAAGAGGTAGACCAAAGATGAGGGCTTACCAACCAACCATTAGAAAAGGAGAATGACTCAGTCAGGTGAGCCCAGGACTCAGGGATAGCTCTTTTTTTGTTTTTAACTTTTTTTCTAATTTTTATTTATTTTTTTTGAGAGAGTGAGCACATGTGTAAAGGGGGAGGGGCAGAGGGAAAGAGAATCTTAAACTCAGCATGGAGCCTGATGCAGGGCTTAATCTCACAACTGTGAGATCGTGACCTGAGCTGAAATCAACAGCTGGACACTTAACCGACCAAGCCACAAAGGCGTCCTTAACTTTTTACTTTATATTATTGTGGTAAGAACACTTACTATGAGACCTACCCTCTTAACAAATTTTTAAGTGTACAAGGCAGTATTGTTAACTCTAGGTACAATTTTGGACACCAGATCTCGAGAACTTACTCACCTTGCTTAACTGAAATTTTATGCAGCTTGAAAGGCAACTCCTCATTTCCTCTTACTTCTAGTTGTTGGCAACCACCATTCCACTCTTTGATTTTATGGTTTTGACTATTTTAGATACTTCATGGAAGTGAATCATGTAGTACTTGTAATGTTGTGACTGAATTATTTCACTTAGCATAATTTCCTCCAGGTCCACTCACATTATGACAGATTACAGATTTTTTTTTTTTAAGATGAACAATATTCCAATGTATGTATATACCATGTGTTCTTTATCCATTCATCACTCAGTGGACATTTAGGTTGCTTTCATGTCTTAGATGTAGTGAATAGTGCTACAATAAACATGGGAGTGCTAATATCTCCTCAAAATTCTGATTTCAATTCTTTTGATAAATTCCCAGAGTGGGATAGCTGGATCATATGGTAGTCCTAATTTTAGTTTTTTTAAAAAAAATTTTTAATGTTTATTTTTGAGAGAGAGAGAGAGAGAGAGAGAGAGCAAGCAGGGGAGGAGCAGAGAGAAAGGGAGACACAGAATCCGGAGCAGGCTCCAGGCTCTGAGCTGTCAGCACAGAGCCCAATACGGGGCTTGATCCCACAAGCTGTGAGATCATTACCTGAGCTGAGATCAAGAGCTGGACACTTAACTGAGCCATCCAGCCACCTCACATCCCCCCCAACACTTGTTGCCTTTTGATTTTTTTTTTGTTTGTTTTTTGATAATAGCCATCCTGAGTAGTGTGACGTGACAGCTCATTATGGTTTTTAATCTGCATTTCCCTGATGGTTAGTGACTTGAACATCTTTGGTTTGGTACCAGGGTAACACTGGCCTCAAAGAATGAGGTGGAAAATGTTCCTTCCTCGTTTAGTTTTTGGAAGAGTTTGTGAACTGCTGATATTAATTCTTTAAACACTTGGCAGAGTTCATTAGTGAAGTGATTTGGACCTGGCCTTTTCTTTGTAAGAAGTTTTATTGTAGGTCTAGTTAGATTTTCTCTTCTTGAATCGGTTTTGTGGGAATAAGCTTAGGAATTTTCTGAGCCTCTGCCAATGGGTTAACAAGGCATAAAGAATTAGAAAGTCATAGGATGTTCACACCCAAGTTTGGGTAAACAAGATTAGGTAAGTAAGATTAGATAAGGTGGAGCAAAGGCCCCAGTATAGATAGGGCGGGGCAAAAGCCCCAGTATAGGTAAGGCCTGGGCACAGGCCTCAGTATAGATAAGGTGGGACAAAGGCCCCAGTATAGGACAAATGTATATGAGGTAAACAAGATTAGGTATTCAGGGTGGAAACAACCCCCAATTTAGTACTTACAATAGCAGAAAGCTGCTTTCGCAGGAAGGAAGGACCAAATTAGGTGAACAGGTAAATAGGGCTAGCGACTGAAGCAGGGCAAAGTTGCCCAGAGGGCAACTAGCTAATTAGCAAAAGAAAGGTGCCTTGTTGACCCTGAGGTAGCATGCTCTGTCTTTCTTGTCCCCTAGACCAGTTTAGGTAAACAGAGGTGGTGCCTCTTGTCTGCTATAAACAACCTTCTGCCTAACACCAGGATTTTGCTTTGTATTAACCCAAATCCCTAACCCCCGCATATCTTCAAAACCCCCTTTCCCTCACGCCCATGAGTTAATGTTCACGATTTCACTGTCTCTTTGTGCACACCCATCACCACATTTGTAAGCCTTCTTTTTTTTTTTTTTTTTTTTTTTTTTATTTATTTTTGGGACAGAGAGAGACAGAGCATGAACGGGGGAGGGGCAGAGAGAGAGGGAGACACAGAATCGGAAACAGGCTCCAGGCTCCGAGCCATCAGCCCAGAGCCCGACGCGGGGCTCGAACTCACGGACCGCGAGATCGTGACCTGGCTGAAGTCGGCCGCTTAACCCACTGCGCCACCCAGGCGCCCCATAAGCCTTCTGATCCTAATAAAAACAGAACTAGGACCCTTACTTGGGGCTCTTGTCTTCTCCTGGACATCAGCTTCTCTCTCACATTTTTAATTCTGCATCCCACTTTCTTGCTAGACAAGAAAGAACTCCAGACCCAGAGTCTACAACACAGTTTTAGTAGTTTGCATGCTTCTAGGAGTTTGTCCGTTTCATTGAAGTTATCTAATTTATTGCCATGTAATGTTGATAGCTTTCCCTTATTTATAATCCTTTCTATTTCTGTAAGGTTGTTAGTGATATCTTTCCTCTTTTATTCCTGATTTCAGTAATTTGAATCTTCTTTTATTTCCTTGGTCCCTCTAGATAAAGACTTGTCAATTTTGTTAAACTGTTCGCAGAACCAACTTCTGGTTTCATTGATTTTCTGTATTGTTTTGTATTCTCTTTGTCATTTATTTACACTCCAATATTTCTTCCTTCCTTCCTAGTGATTGCTTTCAGTATGTTTGCTCTTCTTTTACCAGTTTATTAAGGTGGAGAGTTAGGTTTTGAGATCTTTCTACCTCTTTAATATAGGCCTTTACAGCTATAAATTTCCCTCCAAACACTTCTTTAACTACATCAAGTAAGTTTTGGTATGGTGTATTTTTTGTTTTCATTCATATCAAAGGATTTCAAAATTTTTCTTATGGTTTTTTTTTTCTTTAACCCACATATTGCCACATTCCCAACATTTCCATCTGTTATGGATGTCTAATTTCATTCCATTGTGGCCAAAGATCATCCTTTGTATAATATTTCAATCTTTCTAAATTTATTGAAAGTTGTTTTATGGCTTCATATATGGTCTATCCTGGAGAATGTTCCATATGCACTAGACAATGTGCACTCTGTGGCTGTTATGTGGAGTGCATTGTAGACATTTGTTAGGTCTACTTGTTTTATGTGTCTTTCAGTTCTTCTATTTCCTTCTTGATCTCTCTCTAGTTGTTCTATTCACTACTGAGAGTGGGATACTAAAGTCTCCAACTATTATTATTTTTGAATTGCAATTCACCTTTTAAAAGAGCATGTAGGAGAGACTGACTTTAAGGGTGTAATTTGGGATCCAATCTACCCTGGAATAAATCTTGACAGTTCTCACTAGGTCAAACAACTGGAACTTAAGGAGACATCTGAGACATCTCTATTTTCCTCCTTCCCTGCTGTACAAGTTCTTTGGTTTTCACTAGCACTAACTGAATCCCGAGGTAAATTCATCTCATCAGAGCTGGCATAGATGCCTCAGATGTTCCAAAACGAAGCGATATTAGTAGTAGTCTAAAAATGACTACAGAGAGACCTGTGGCTTGCAACTAAAAGGAAAGCTGTGGAGATACTTAAGAGGTAGTAGAACATAGGATTGGATTTACCCAAGGTGCTTAATAAATGCAGATTCTTGAGCTCTATTCTAGATAAAATTTCTCAGGGCAGGGCCCCAAAACATATATTTTAATACTTCCAAGGTAATTCTTACACATACATACACACACACACACACACACACACACACACACACACACACAAGTCTAAGGATCTAGAGTCTGGTTGATAAGAGTGACAAGAACATTCTCTCAAAGGGACATTTATCTTTCAGACCACATTTCAATAGTTCATGGAAGTGAATACTTAATACATTTTCACAGAAATACTTAAAAAAATACCATGTTTCAGAATCTATACTACCTGGGCAGATTATTCTGGTGTTGAGCACAGGCAGGTTTTCTTTGCTGGTTGCCACAGCTGGACCAGGGCCAGAGTCAGTTTGGGAACGACTTGCCCGGCCATCTGGAGACCGAGGTGCAGGTGCAGTTTTAACTGTTGGCAAAAAGTCCCAATTATAAAAAAGATAATGGTAAAGCTATTAAAGTAAGCAAGTCCTTATAAATTCAGGACATAAGATAGTTTAATGCATGTTGAAATCAGTTAGCAGAACTGAAAATATTACATTGCGTTTACCTATTCTTTTCCCTTTGTTTTCACTTTCTTGAGATTTACTGAACGGAGGGATTCTGCCACGGGTCTTGATCACTCATTTCAAACAGATGGAGATCAGTAGAACATAGACGCCTATCATAATTAAAGCTCAGTAACACTCATAATTTGAATGTGACCAACCCATAGTGTTTTATGTAGGTGATGAATCGTGGGAATCTACTCCCAAGACCAAGAGCACACTGTATACACACTGTATGTTAGCTAACTTGACAATAAATTATATATATATATAAACAAAGATAAAAAGAAACTTTGAAGCCTGATGACTTTTGCAAATGGAACATATGTGTTATAATGTATACTACCAATGCATTCTTTTTGTCATAAGTGTTGAGTGATCAGAATTAATTAACGTAGTTCCTACAGCTAATGTGCAAAACGTGAGTTAACATCGTCTTCTATACATGAAAGGAAGATGGTATTTTTTTTCAAATGAAACCGACATATGTTTCCTGCACTTCTCAATTAATTATAAATTCATAACAATGATTTACCCAGAATGGTTCTATCATATTCTTGTAAATGCTCAATACATTTAAAAAGTTATACCAAACCAGAATTTTTCTCAAAGTAAACAACAAAAAAGGAGATTTAATTCTGTCTAAACTGGGGTAATTTTTAATGGAGAGCAAATAGTATCTTTAACTCAATTAGGAGCTATTGGCAGGTGTTTTAAAAAAACCAGTAATCCTCAAACTCAATTTAAAAATACTTGAAAATTTAATTATCTTTACTCTCCCTAAGACTAATTACAAACTAACCATATTAATCTTACACTCTCTTCTGTCTCTTCAAAAACAGTCCAGTTGTACTAAAGAAAAGTAGCAGAACAGCTCACTTTTTTCTTTTTTTTGGACAGATGTGAGACCTGGGGCTAATTTCTAATAAAAACAATCTTTTGATATTCATCTCTGATCAAAAGCAGACAGCATCTTAGTGACTAAGATTGATGTAATATTGCAGGTAACTAAATTACTGTTTCATGGTTTTTCTTAAACATAACATCTCATTGATCATAGTAACATACTGTATTATACATTTCAGGCATATGAATTATTGCATAATTTAATAATATAATGAATGTTCTTAAAAAATAACGATTATTTAATACAGAAATGCTTCAATTGCTACTGACTCCCACTAAATTGGATTACTAGCTAGAAAATAAAATCAAATATTGCAACATTAAAGACTTGTATAAATTTACGTCTATTTCAATATCAATATCTATAGCTGCATACCCATATGTTTCAGTTTTCTTTGCAGACTAAATGCAAGTGCTCAGTTCATGAGACTATATAGTAAGATGGGATGATAGCTGGTTGGAAAACCAGCTACCGTTTTACAGTGAGTGCTGAAAAACCAATCGTCCCAAGAGAGCCTTCCTTATCTTAGGGAAAATTGTCATGCAGCATATTGTAAGAATGCCATTTGCAGTCCTGCTTAAGTCAACTTCGTTAAGGGATGAAAACATACAAGTCAGCTTATTAAATTCTAGATGAAGTAAATTTGAGACGATACAATGAAGCTTCCAAAGATTTTGACAGGATGTAATGGTAGATCCAAATTGAAAAGATAAAAGTTCATAGGGATGAACATAAACTACTATCATTAGATTTAAAAAAAAATCACTTGCACAAAACAGGAGGAAAACAGGCTTATATGGCATTACTATAGAACAGTCCATAACAAGAACTCTTAGGGAAGCCTTCGAAAACCAAAATTGCCCAGAATGTGTAGTGTATGGCTAGCGGTGTGCTATTATCTGGAGGGCTGCATTCAAAATGGGGCATCATATTGACCAATTGAGTGCAACCAGAAAAACAAAGAAGTTTGAAATCAAGTTAAAAATTGGTAAAAGAATTAGGAGATAATATGGAAAAGAAGATATAAGGGGTAGAAGAGGATATGATGCCATGAAAGCTGTTTTCAAAGGTCTGCCACATGGTAGAGTTATCTTCAATACTGTGAGGTAATGTATAGGAAATTGTTTTTAACTATTCATAAAGCACCACACAAACGCCAGCAGTTGTTGCTATTAACATTATCACACATAAAACTCCATTAGTTAGTGTGATCATGGGTAGAAATTTAAGAAGAAAATATAAAGCTGAATATAGAGAAAAGCTTTCTAACAATTGAGAGCTGATGTTAAGAATGGGATGTATTGAAAGTGAGTGGCGGGGCATCTGGCTGGTTCAGATGGGAGAGCTTGGGACTCTTGATCTTGAGGTCATGAGTTCAAGCCCCACGCTGGGTGTAGAGATTACTTAAAAAAAAATACAATATTAAGAAAAAAACAAAAGAAAGTGAGTGGCCATCTGTCAAGAGGGTTATAAAGTATGCCTGTATTGGATTATATGCTGCGACAGGGACCGTTAAGGTCCCTACAGTCTAAGGTTATAGAGTTGGGTCGTGTGCTGAAATAGGTACACGTAAAGTCTAAAAGGGCTAAGGTTGTAGAATATGTATGCATTGGTTGCATGCCAGACATGTGAGGTCTGATTTCAAAGTTGCTAAGAGTTTCACATATAATTAAGGAGAATTCTTTGGAAGTTAATGTAATTAGTAGCAACGGCAGTGGCAGGAATAGCAATAGCACTGGTAATAGTGATAATGACTGCAAACACTCTTTCAGAGCACTATGTACCTGACTCTATTCTAGGCACTCCACGTATCTTAACTTCCTCAACCTTCACAACAGGTAGGCATGTCATTATCCGCATTTCACAAACAAGGAAACCACAGAGAAATGAAGCAATCTGCCCAAGTGTATGTGTAATGAAAATAAAGCAAAAGCTTAATGAACGCAGTTCTGATTTAATAGTGTTGACTTTTCATTAGTATTATGCGATTACTTTCATATTACTTCTCAGCTTCGTTAATACTTTAATTTCTGCTTTGTTTTATTCTACTAAATTAACAGCTATTCCTTTATACAATCTGAAATATTAAAAATATAAATTCATCTTTGAACTTCAACAGGCAACTACATATTAATTTCCTGGAAAAAATAATTTTAGTAGAGATAGGGTTGTAACTAGACGTCCAGTGATTTTAGAGATTAATGTAGCAATAGGAAATTCGCAAACCATCCGAGCTGATCAGTGGAATTCAAGGGACCGCTAAGCTACTGAAATGCCAAATTCCGTGCCTGTGGGACCTACTGCTTTCACAGAATTCTCAAATGCATCTGTAGGCTAAAAACAGGTTAAAATCTGTTGATTTAGGTGTTTCTTCCTTTTTTCTTCAGGAAAATGAAGAGATTTAGCTATGGTTGGTCCCAGAATCCTTAGTTCATTATGATGATCTCCAGATTATCTGATAAACAAGGGATGTGACTACTTGACAATACTCTAAATGTTACCTTTATTATTCTACTATTCACGAATATCTAAGCTTTAACTTTTGAAAAGCCTTGTTAAAATTAAAATACAAAGTTTATTACAAACCGATAAGCCTTTTGAAAAGTAAAAGCAGAATTACATTTTATTGAATTCCAAAATAATTAGTTTTCTTACCAGTTGAAGGCTCTTTTGCACCATCATCTTTAGATTCTTCTTTAGATTCATCTGTTTCTGTGCTATCGTTATCGAATGACTGGCTAACTGGTTCACAAGGGTGAACACTCTGTTCATCCAGAACTTTAAGTAGTCGGAGAGAAATATGTTTGGACAAGTAAAAGTAAAATCCATAAATATTAATGTATGCTTAAAAAGGAAAATGAAACATAAACCAAAAGAAATTCCATATGCACAAATTAACACTAGTTGATAAGTTTGGGGTGATGTCTCTAAGTACTAGAGATTATACAACTAAATATTTAAAATTGTAAAAGTTATATTTTTACCAGAAGAAAAAAATAAAAAATTTGAGATGAAATACAAGTCCAACTACAAGTTATAACCTATAAAAGGGATTTCAATGTTAATTTTTAATTAAAGTTAACTTCAGTCCACTATTAAAATTCTAAGAGAGGTATATATATTATATTAATACAAAAAATTAAAATATAGGTGGAGCTTTTACAAACTCTTTAAAAAACAACGTAAACATTCAGGAAACAAATTTAAGAAAGTATTTTCAAAGTAGTTTACAGGTTTGATTTTCTTTGAGAACTCAACAGATTCTAATGACATAGAAGATATTTAAAATTTTATAATTATTACTTAATTTTCAATATTTCCAGTGTACTTTATCTCTGAGATGTAACTTTATTTAACATCTTTAACATATTTAACAATAAATATGCTGATCCTTACTACTAAAACAAGAGAGGGGATAGATTTCATTCTAATGGCCCTATCTTCTGTCTTGCCTGAAAATTTTCTATGTGTGTATAGCCTGACCAGTGTGAAAACTCCATTGTGCTTGCAATATAAGAATGCTGCTAACTTCTTCAAAAGCTGATTTCGTTCATGTGTACCTTTGCCGGCTTCTTCAATGACTTGCCTCACTGCTTTCTTTAAACTGTTTGCCCGCAACATTATTTCGTTTGGTCTCACAGCTTTCTGGGAGGAAGGTTTTGCAGGGTCATCGGTGAGTTGTTCTTTGTTTTCACACAAAGATTCTTCACTGGAAGATTCCACGGTATCTTCTTCTACAATCAGAGAGCTGATGCCTGGGAGAACGGGGGCAGCCTGGGAATCTGTGTGTAAAGCTTGAAGCAGTTGTTCAAGCTTTTCATTTAGGACTGAACACTAAGAAAACAAAAATACACTAATGAATCTCCATTTTGTGGGAATGGAAAATGATAATTTAAGTGAATGGCTTCTGATTTTAGAGGAAAGATGCCTATATTAATATTTACCATTAACAGGCCATCTATTATAGATTATACTTTAGATAGTTTATGGACTAAGTAATCTATCACTTTTAAAAGAAGTACAATTATGGGAATTTTTACATGCACGTCCAGAATATTCCAATTCTACCATCTTTATATAACTATTTTCCCTTAAAAGAAAGTCTCTAGGGGCGCCTGGGTGGCGCAGTCGGTTAAGCGTCCGACTTCAGCCAGGTCACGATCTCACGGTCTGTGAGTTCGAGCCCCGCGTCAGGCTCTGGGCTGATAGCTCGGAGTCTGGAGCCTGTTTCCGATTCTGTGTCTCCCTCTCTCTCTGCCCCTCCCCCGTTCATGCTCTGTCTCTCTCTGTCCCAAAATAAATAAAAAACGTTGAAAAAAAAAAAAAAAAGAAAGTCTCACAACTATATAACTATATAAAGATATAGTTGTTTTTTCTTAAAAGAACAAACACATTAAAGTGACACATTATGCAGAAAATTTACACGTTACACAGAAAATTTATGCATTATACAGAATATTGCATAAACTTTTTAAAGTAATCAATGTATGGTACTGTTTTGAGCATCACAAATTGCAGGTCTGGCTGAGCCTTGGTAAGCTCTCCTTCAAAGCTTTGGTTTTAAAAGGAGTGAAGGGCACCTAAGGGATTAATGGTTCAAAAAAAGAGCAAAAAAGGAAAATGCACAATGATAAAGAAGTAAAAGAAGATGGAGAAAGAAAAACCAGCTCTCGGACCTTGTTTCTGTCTGCTTCTCTTGAATGACTATGGGTAAAGAAATATTTAGGATGGAAGCTGTTGATGTGACTGCCTAATTTACCTTTTATTCCACACAAGTTCCAGTTCCTTCCGCCTCCATTTATTGGCCTTTGATGTCATGCTAACACAAGGTTACAGTGGAAATAGTTAACAGAAAAAAGTGTGGCTACAGAGGCCTTTCTGAAGCTATCCACAGAGTAGAAAAACAAGAAGAAAAGAGGCTGAAAATGTCAAATGTATGTTTACTTCCATTTTCTTTTCCTTTCACTCAGTTAAACCACCATCGACAGCATGAATCTGGAGGAGACCATTCCTTTTCAAGCCCAAGAACCTTTTGTAAGAACCTTTTGTCATGAACATATGAGAGCAAAGAGAGTAGCTTTTAAGTTTCTTATGTTAGCCTCAGAAAGCTCATAAAGGGGGAAAAAATCTATAAAGAAAGAGGCAAAGCAAGAAACAGAACCCTGAAAGGGACCAAGGGCCATACTGTCTGGGGAACCTAAGGAATGGCGCTAAGATGGACGGACAAAGCCTGACGCCCAGTTTGCCTGGAAATGGAAAGCCATTCCTCTCCCTGCACTGGAACACCAGTGGCTCTGCATCTCCCACCTGTGACCCGACTACTGTGCATTTCTCCTTCAAGATGTCAATCAGTGGGAAAAGGGAGTTGAGTTATAAAATTCGTGTTGTCAGATGGTCTTCAGTAATGCAGTTTTGCTACCAGATAACCATAAAATAGAATATGTTTTAATCCCTTACATCTGATTCAAAAGGACTTTTTCTCTTGATTTAAGATGTTTTGGTAAGAAAGCCACTTAATCAATCTAGCTGTAAAACACCATTCAATGCCAGCATTGTTAGTCAAAACTTTCATGCTCTAAAGGTGACCAGCTTACTTTATTAGCCACAGCATCAGCTGCAACAGCATTTTCCAACGTTTTTTCGTATGCCTTCTCTACTTTGGCAACAAAGTCCTTTACAGTTTCACATAGGATCCTTTGAGGAAAAGAAATGGTGAAATTCAGTAAACCCAGTAGGCTGATTTGGTTTGATTGACAAACATTTTAAAAACAAGCACAATTAGGTAAACTATACCTAAAACAAGCACATTTAGGTCAAAATATAGGGACCATTTGTATAAAAAACCCATACTCTATCTGCTGTGTAACACGTACTGTAGAAGTTCAAGACATTCTAAGTGATAAACGGAAATGTACATGAATACACTTTGCTCTATATAATTTAACTAACAGTCCTTTTAAGGTTATAATAAGTCCTTCTCAAATATTTAAATAAAATTCTTGAGAGGAGCATTTGTAGATCCCATTAAAAAATTTAAAGCATTATCTCTGGCATCTTATATATTTTCATAACAGAACTTGCAATGTTGAAAAAACAAGGATAAATTTGTCACTTAAAGTTGTCACTCTCACTCTAATGTTCATTATCTGGGTATCTTGAAAGTATATTGTTCCTAAAGAGGAAAGAGATTGTGTAGCCAACCTGCCACTTGGATTGAGTTATATTCTCTGCAAATCTATTTCCTTAAGGTGACCAATATAGTCATAGGCAAGACTAATTTAATTTAGATTTTCTTAGTGTCAACAACATATGCTTTACTTGTTCCTTTTACCTAAATTTGGTTTCTTTGCAATAGAAATAGATTAGGAGAAAAAATAATCTGAAACCCCAACACTGACGAAAATCTGTCTTTCAAAAGTCTTTGGGACTGGTGTTGAAACAATCCAACAGAATGGTATGTGACCAGCTTTTTCTAGCATGGGCTTAGTGAGTCTGAAAACAAAATCAGAATTATTTTAAAACAATTATATTTCTCTTTATTATGGATACAGTTTAGGAATTTGAAGGAAAAAACAAGCAGGTTCCAGCAATTATTTTTTTCTATTATCCTCACAATTTTCTCTGGTATGTGAGTGATATAATGATTAAGTTTCCAGATATTTAAGTGTTATGAAATCAAGCCATTCAATAGATAGAGTGTACATACACACACTCCAAACGTTCACATTTATTATCTAAGAAATAAATGAATTATTCCTAACAATTTAACAATTTTTATTTTCTTTGTTGTTTTTTGGCAACCATCTCTAGATTTCACTCGGACAAAAAGTAGTATTTCCTAACCTTCAACCTTTCTGTTGGCTTTTTCAAATTTTTTTAAATTTTATTTATTTTTTATTTTTTTAATGTTTATTTATTTTTGAGAGAGAGAGAGGCAGAGGGTGAGTGGGGGAGGAGCAGAGCGAGAGGGAGACACGGAATCCAAAGCAGGGTCCAGGCTCCAACGTGTCAGCACAGAGCCCAACGCGGGGCTTGAACCCACGAACCGTGAGATCATGACCTGAGCTGAAGTCGGACACTTAACTGACTGAGCCACCCAGGCGCCCCTCTGTCGGCTTTTTAAAATCACAATTCTCCAGAGACTCTAGCTTACTATTTATTAGAGATGCATTCATGTGCTCCACCTCAAGGTTTGTCCTCTTTGTTCATGTATAGCACTTTTATAGAACTTGTTGAAATATTAAAGTGAGGCTATCGTGAAAGTTTTTCTATGAAGTTTACTGAAAGTGTCTCTAAGATGTCCCACCTCTAAGAAGAGGAGACACGGACAGTTTCCCCTCTTTACAGAACTCCAAAATGGACCTTTTCTTTGCTATTGTTACAACACTGCCCTGATATAATTTTCTGTCAGAATTTGTGAAATTGCATATGCCATAACATTATCATAACTACTTTTGCTGGCATTTTCCTAATTCTTAGGGACAGAGCCTGTTGGCCCATCGGCCTAGGAATGCAAGGGGCAACAAAGGTACCATGTTGTTGAGGCAGGTGGAGGCTGGAGGGGAGAGTACGATTCTGTGTTAGAGAATACTTGCCATGGAAGTTGTGGGGAAAATTAGAAGAAATGGTCTATCTTAGGATCCAGTAAGTTTCATATTCCAGAAGATATAAAATACGTACACTCGGGAGAAATGAACTAACTTTTTACTACACCTAAATAGTGACTGTAGAATTCTTAAAATTGAAATAAAACGTACACTAGTATGATTTCAAAATCATACTACCTGGGAACTTGCAAACTGGAGAAAAGCAATTTAAAGACGTATTTACTGTAGGGGTACCTGTGTGGCTCAGTCGGTTAAGCATCCAACTCTTGATTTCAGCTCAGGTCATGATCACCCTGTTTGTCCAAGCTCTGCATTGGACTCTGCACTGAAGGCACAGAGCCTACTTGGGATCCTCTCTCTCTCTCTCTCTCTCTCTTCCCCCCTCTCTCAATGTCCCTCCCCACTTGCTCTCTCTCTCTCTCTCTCTCAAAATGAATAAAAAAAAAATAAATGTATTTACTGTAATAACGTAAAAGACATTCTCCAACTGATAGTTTCTACTTTAATGCATAGACTTCCAGAAAACAGGTTCAAAAATCAAATAAATGAAAGTGGAACATGGATTTTCTCATAGAGTTATAAATATTTTTAATCCCTAATTATATTTTAAATTAATGTTAGTCATAACTTTGACAAGCTATTTCCAAGCATTTTATTTCTTTAGTTTTGTTCTCTTCCTTCCAAGTTGAACACAAATATGTAGTTGATTTTGCACCAAATACTCAGTTGGAGCCAACAATAGTCCACATTTAGCATGCTTGATGATTTCCACTATGATCTCAATCAGATTGTATTCATGGCATCTATACTTTTCATCACTAGTAGCAGTATCTTCATTTATCAATTTTTCACTTATTTTTTTAATAGTGGCAAATGACAATAAAACATGCAAACACTACATGCAGAAAAATATGGCAATGGTGCCCAAACAGATGTGCATATTGGCAGGCAGGTATCATCTGAAAAATTCATTTCCATCTGATATAAAAAAGTTCCAATCAGAAATTAAAGATGATTTTCAAATATCAATGCATAATATATTAAAAAACCATTACCTACTCTATGCTCTGAGGAAAGATTGTAATAACTACATATCTTATCTCATCTATTTAATGGGGGAGAGGAGCTAGCCTAAATTATCTCTAAGATAGATTCCAAATCTAAAATTCTATGGTTCTAGGGGCATCTGGATGGCTTAGTCATTTAAGTGTCCGACTTCAGCTCAGGTCTGATCTCACCGTTCTTGAGTTCGAGCCCCGTGTCGGGCTCTGTGCTGACAGCTCAGAGCCTGGAACCTGCTTCTGATTCTGTGTCTCCCTCTCTCTCTGCCCCTCTCCCACTCGCACTCTGTGTCTCTCTCAAAAATAAATAAACATTAAAAAATATAAATAAAATAAAATTCTATGGTTCTATGGCAATAGTTCCAATCTTACTATTTTTTTCTGGCCAGCGATCCCATATTCTAAGAAGCTTTACCCTCAGAACAACTTGCATTTACTTAATAACTTTGCTTTGTATTTTTATTAATAAATGACATCTATAATTGCTAGCTAATGCTTCTGATTCTCAGAAGGTAACTCATGTTTACAAAATTTCAAAATCAAAGAAATGTTGACATTATATTGGTTAGTTCATAGTAACTACGTTAGTTAACCTACATATTAGCTATGCTAATGGAATATAGCATTTCCATAGTATTTTCAGTATTTAAAAAATAGTTAAAACAGCTTAGTCTGCTGGGAATTACTATTTTATCAAACAAGTTTAAACATGCACAAGGAGGTTAAAACATTCTTCCTGAATATTATATCATTTAACAAGTAACTAGCATTATCAAAGGAAGGGAATTATTTATGTTATCTAGGTGGTGGTTACAAGAATGTGTGTGTGAATGTGAATGTGTGTGTGTATTCTTTTCTCTCATCACTTAAGTTATACCTTTATGATTTGGCTACTTTACCGTGTATATGTCATGCCTTGATAACAATTTATTTTACCTTATTTTATTTTTATTTACTTTATTTAACTTTTATTTTATTTAATTTAAATTTAATTTTATTTTAGAGAGAGAAAGTGAGAGTGAGTGAACATGACTGGGGGAGAGGGGCAGAGAAAGAGAAAGAATCTTAAGCAGGCTCCATGCTCAGCATGGAGGCTGACGCAGGGCTCGATTCCATGACCATGAGATCATGACCTGAGCCAAAATCAAGAGTTGGATGCTTAACTGACTGAGCCACCCAGGTGCCCTGAAAAAAAAAAATTTTTTTAAGCAGGGAGAAATATTTTATACTTTACAAGTCTTTTTTTCTTTCTTTCTTTTTCTTTTTTCTTTTCTTTTTTTTTTTTAACATTTATTCATTTTTGAAAGGCAGAGAGAGACAGAGTGCGAATGGGGGAGGGGCAGCGAGAGGGAGACACAGAAACAGAAGCAGGCTCCAGGCTCCAGGCTCCGAGCCATCAGCACAGAGCCATCAGCAAAGAGCCATCAGCACAGAGCCCGACTCGGGGCTCGAACTCACGGACCGCGAGATCATGACCTGAGCCGAAGTCGGCCACTTAACCGACTGAGCCACCCAGGTGCCCCTATCCTTTACAAATCTTAAAGGGACATATAACCCAAATGCAGTAATTGAACCTTGTTTGGCTCTTGACTTGAATAAAACAACTGTTTAAAAAAAAAACTTTGAGATAATTAGGGCAAATGGAATACGGATCGAGATGGTCTTAGAGAATTATTACTAATTTTATTAGACTTTTTAATAAGATTATTAGGTATATATACTGAAACTAGAATAAAAGGATTTCTGGGATTTGCTTAGAGATACTGTAGCACGGAAAAGTGGAAATGGATGACAAAATTTTGACAGACACTGAAGCTGTGTGATGGGTATGGTGGGAAACCATTATACTAGTCTACTTTTATGTATGTTTGAAAATGTTCATAACAAAAATTAAATTGAAAATATACTATATTAATGGTACAAATTTACTACATTTTGTCCTTTCTTTTCAGTCTTAAATCTTTTTATGGCAAATCCCCTAAAATTTTAATCTGGGGTTATAAAGGCAAGACAGCTGGGCAGTATGGGAGCACACAGGAATGACAAGAGGGAACCAGGGTTGGAATAGAATCTGCTTAGAGGCAAACGAAGGTCAGAGAGAAATCCAAAGCTAAAGTTAATAATAGTGGAGCCTAGACAAAGAGCCAGGCCAAGGTCAAAGAAAAATTTGAATGTAATTGATTAAAACATGAGATGATGATACCATAATTTAATATAGCACTCTGGAGTTTATAAGCTCTATATTTATTTTACTACTCAACTTAAATCTCCTAGCAGTTCCATGAGAGAGGAAGGACATTCCTACACTTGATAAAACAGACCTGGGCCACAAAGCTACTAAATGGTTGAATCTCAGCCAGGACCTCAGATTTACTTCTACTTGGCTCAAAACTGTGACTTTCAAACTGTGTTTTTCAACACTGTGTTTTTCAAACTGTTTTCCAGAAAGACTTCAAGGATTTTGCAAATACTTGATTCAAATTTCACTTAGAAATATAGGATATATAGGGGCGCCTGGGTGGCTCAGTCGGTTAAGCGGCCGACTTCGGCTCAGGTCATGATCTTGCGGTCAGTGAGTTCAAGCCCCGCATCGGGCTCTGTGCTGACAGCTCAGAGCCTGGAGCCTGTTTCAGATTCTGTGTCTCCCTCTCTCTGACCCTCCCCTGTTCATGCTCTGTCTCTCTCTGTCTCAAAAATAAATGTTAAAAAAAAAAAAATAAAAAAAAAAAAAGAAATATAGGATATATATATATTTTTTTACATGCTCAAATAATCATTAGAAATATGAGAGACAAGTAATATGTTAGCTTTCACTTCAGAATTCACAGTTTTTTGGGGAAAATCTTAGACTATATTTGATGCAGTTTTCAGCTATTTCTGTATTTTATTTTGGTTACATGTTAGTAAGGAAATTGTCTTCAATAATCAAAATAAAATACAGAAATAATTAGAAACTGCATCAAATAAAAAATTATAACTTATCTATAATCTCATTGCTTAATTTTTCTCACAAATGGCTAACAATTTAATCTTGTCCAATTTATTAATGACAACAAAATAGATTTTTAATTATTTAAATATTAGAATTCTACATAATATTTTGTTTAAAAGAAGACAAGGTTATAAGCCAGTTATATCTCAGTTAAGAAACATATTAAATGTATAGAAGGCAGTAATCAAAGACATCAAACACATGAAGGCCAATATCAAGAGATTTGCTAACATCCAAATTTGAAATATTTAAAATATTAACTGCACTAAAGAACAATTCTTTTTATAACTTGTTATAATTTTTAAAAGTTTCCAATCAGCTTTCCATTTTTTCTAGCAATAGCTTCTAAAATGTCCTATAAAAACAAGCATTTGATTCATAGAGCAAGGGTGGCAAGCGCAAATGTCTTCCTTGTAGTAGTAACTTAAGAAGTACCTAATGAATGACGTGGGTATATTTATAAATTTGGCCCAGTATGAGGAAGGCCTAGGGAGTGCTGAGGCTTGGGAGGAACTGGAGATTTTTACATTTCACCATAAGCCATGCATCTTGTCAGAAAACACCCAACCAGGGGTGCCTGGGTGGCTCGGTCGGTGGAGCGTCCGACTTCGATTCAGGTCATGATCTCGCGGTTCATGGGTTCAAGCCCCATGTCGGGCTCTGTGCTGACAGCTCAGAGCCTGGAGCCTGCTTCCGATTCTGTGTTTCCCTCTCTCTCTCTGCCCACTCCCTGCTTGTGCCTCTGTCTCTCCCTCTCTCTCAAAAATAATAAACATTAAAAAAATTAAAAAAAAAAAAACGCCCAACCAAACAACAGCAGCAAAAACCCACCAGCAGCACTGTGCATCAGAGCATCTGCTGCCCACCTCTCTGGGCAACCAGTCTGCTCCCCTGCCTTAAGCTGTTCCTTCCTATTATTCCTTAAGCAATACCCTTCCTATTGCTCAGCCCGGTTTCCTATTCCTGGGGGTTATGGCAGCAAAAGCAGTCGTTACTGTATTTGTACTCTGTCACAAGCAAATTTGTTTGTAATGATTTATCTGGTCTTCCCTTGAGTCTTTGCAAATTAAATATATAATATACTAAGGTTTGTGTATTTTTCCTCCCACTACTTCCCCAGTCCCTCACTCCCTTTACTTCTTCTTTGTCTCCTCTTTCTGTATAACAGTAATATTTCCTTGCTAAGCCAGAATCTTAAAGCATGCTTTGACCTTTGCTTATCAGTTGAAAATTTCAGCGGGTTTCACCCCTTACTCTAGTTGACTTTCCAGCTCTCAGGATATCAGTATAGGATATTTCAAAACTAAATTCTAAATTCCGGGCAGGCAACATTTAAGATAATAAAATCAAGTAGCTTTGGCTCCATGTACAGAATCAACCTAACTAAAATCTGATAACTTTGAATTAAAATATAATTATGGAATTCTAACATGCTGATAAATGTCACTTTGAAAAATCTCTTCAATATTTTCCCTTTCCTGATGTAAACAGTTCCTGAAGAGTAGTGTTTATAGAAATAATAAATTATGGTGAAATGTGTTTTCCATATTATAATCATAAATGCTTCTTTAAATAGGAACTTAGATTAATTAAACTCTAACTCATATCACACCTTTCTGATAAAAATATTTCAGATTAAGCATTAAAAAAACCCCTCTAAATATATACTTCACTGCAAATAAGATGCTAAAGTGATTTTTAAAAAAAACAATGCAAGTTTAGTATATCTAACTTTATAAGGTACTCTAACTTTATAAGTTACTTCACCAATATTTTTGGGGGGGGGGGGGAAATCACAAAAAAAGTGACATAAATGGTAGGAACAAGCTGTCCTTTCATTTTCACCATATAACTCTTTCATGACTTGAACTCCATTACTCACTTGGCAGATGATATGACCACGGCATGTTCATCAGAATTGAGGATTTTTGTAAGATGAGCTGCAACTGAGTCCTCATAAATTGTCATCTGAAAAAGTAAAAAATCTACACTGTATTATTGTTGCTGGCATTTATACAACTCAGTTTATTACCACTTCCAAAATGGGATCATTTAAGACACATGTGACACAGGGATGTGAGTATAATGAATTATATGAAAAGTCATCATACAAAATAGATAAATACTTCCCTTCTATAAAAGGCTTTTAGTTTCTGAAATTCCTTAATCTATAGTCTTAGAAAAAACCCTAAAATCCATTAAATTAGAAAAAAATGTCGAATGGCTGAACACATAAAGAACTCCTCCAGGTAGGCACAAAAAAAAGCCAGACAACCCAATGAAAAATGGGCTAAAGACTAGAAATTTAAAGAGGAGGATAAAAAAAAAAAAAGGCCCACAAACAGATGAAAGGAAATCAGCCTCATCAGCTGTCAGGCAAACACAAAATAAAACCACAGTGAGGTTCCACTGTATTTGCCAGAAGAGTTAAAATGAAATAGCAGCAACAATGCCTGGAAAATGCCACATATTGGCAAGGTTGTGGAGCTACAGAAGTCTCATTCACTGCTGGTGGGAGAGCAGGCATTGATATAAACACTCTAGAAAACTGCTGGGTGTCTTTCAAAGCCAAACATATGCATATAGCATAGGATCCAGCAATCCGATTTCTACACACACACACACACACACACACACACACACACACACACCCAAAGAAATGTGATGTGCGTTCACCAAAAGACATGTGATAGAAAACGTTCATAGCAGCATTCACTCAAATGCAGAATGGATAACACATCAGAGTATAGCCTCACAATGGACTAGATGGGGGCAATGAGAATGCGTGGTTTATAGCTATGCCATAACACGGATGAATCTCACAGACATAATGTGGAATAAAAGGATTCAGAAAAGAACTGCTTACAAAATGATTCATTGTATAAAGTGCAGAATGGACAAAAATAATCTATGCTGTTAGAAACCAGGAGAGTGGTTCCTGGGGTGGGAGGGGAGGGTGGTGAATGGAAGAGGGCCTGTGGGGGCTCACAGCACGCTGATAATACTGCCTTGTGATCTGCATGTTGATTACATGGGTGTATTCAGCTTGTGGAAACTTACCAGCTGTACATTTATGATTGGTGCACTTTTCTGGGTGCACAATTCAATAAAAAGTTTTTTAGAATGTTGAGTAGTCTGTCATACAGCCATGTAAATAAATCTCTCAAATTAGGAAGTAATCAAAACGCTCAGGGAGTCCTGTCTCCCCTTTTCTGTTTGACTCAAAATGTAAGATTCTGTTGAAAGAACAGATCTTCCTAATATGCAAACATGTGCACAGTATTTAAACAGCCTCTATTCAGAGCCTTCCATCAAATGTTTGCCTCCAATATGTACAACGTCCTACAGCTCAAAAATTTCCAGTGTAAACCACCTGCTCTGTTCCAGCTGGCCTCCTGTGTTCTTCCGCCCTTCTCTGATATCCTTTTGTTGCTTCTTACCCATTGGCACCAGGTCATTCAGACTTAAATGTAGATTCAGTTACCACCCCCCCTCCTTAAAGCCTTCTTGACTAGCGTCTTTCCAAAGAGATCTCATTCCCGATTTCTGCCCAGTTCCGTGAGTGGCTAATCAGTATGTCACTCTTTTAAATTTCTATCTTACTTTCTTCAGAGGCAGACCACGTATAGAAAGGAATTCTTACATTAAGGAAAGGATGGGAGGGGAGGAGCCTCAAAGCCTCACGCAATGTTGTGTTCACTTGCAAATCCACTTTATTCATCTTCCAGTGTAAACATTAAAAGTTGTATCTTTAGGGGCGCCTGGGTGGCGCAGTCGGTTAAGCGTCCGACTTCAGCCAGGTCACGATCTCGCGGTCCGTGAGTTCGAGCCCCGCGTCGGGCTCTGGGCTGATGGCTCAGAGCCTGGAGCCTGTTTCCGATTCTGTGTCTCCCTCTCTCTCTGCCCCTCCCCCGTTCATGCTCTGTCTCTCTCTGTCCCAAAAGTAAATAAACGTTGAAAAAAAAAAAAAAGTTGTATCTTTATACTCAAGATCAGAAAAATGAAAATACGTCTTTTAAAAAAGCAAAGAAAGGAAGTATTTTTCAAAATGATTAGTTTCATTTCTTTTCCCTACAGGATAGACTGTCATAGAGCCTAAGAAGGTAGGGGAAAGTATTTTATACTCTCAGTAATTCCCTTTGAAATTACATGTAAAAATCCAAGTTTTTGTCTGTTAAAAATAAGAAAAGGCAAAGAATACAACCTCTTCCAGAGGAAAATGAAATAACTCTATGTCCAAAGATAAAATTATTGATGTCCCTTATTAAGCTATTATGTAGTCATTTAGAGTCAGGAAGGTAAGGTAAGAATAATAGTTAACATTTTTTATTGTGTACAGACACTGTGATGAAGTATTCGATACATATTTATCCCATTAATTGTCCTGTTTTATAGCCAAGGAACCTAAGGCTCAGTGAAGTTGTGTGATTTTCCCACGATCCTGGGTTAATGAAGAAAAGACAAACTAGGGGGCCAGGTCTGCAGCTTATCCCACTATTATTCCCGCCCCACCCCCAACCCCCCACTCCAAGCAAGTCCTGATCTTTGGTTAACTGTCAAATATAAATTTTGTCATTTCTCAAGTGCATCATTATACCAGCCTTGTAGCTGGGATCCCTATATCTCTCTAACCCCTTTCAAATCATTCTCCACTTCATGATGCAATGATCTTTTTCCAAAACACAAATCTGAGCATGACACATCTCTGCCTAACATGTTACAGGGGATCTTCCTACTTTCCAGACAGAGTCAAAATTCTTCAGCTAACACGCAACACCTTCCACAATTCCCAGGATTCTCCATGATCTGAACGCTCCTTCTCTCCACCGTCATGTCTTTTGATTCTCTTCCCTTGCCCATGAGCTCTAACTCAACAGAATTACTTGTAGTGTCCCAAATGTATGAAGGTCCTTACTATCAAGCTCTACATGATGCTCTTTTTCAACTGGCTAATTCCTACTTCTCTTTGTGCTGAAAACCCAGTTTAGATACAATCTCTTCTGTAAAGACTTCACTGAACTTACCAGACTGAGAGCCCTCTCTTCTGTGCAGCCATTATACCCTGAAAATAACCTAAACATAGCTGATCATTTATTGTCTGTCCCTCAAAATATATTCTCCAGCTTTCTCGCTTTGTGGCATCCTTAATGTCTGAATGATTTTGTCACATACCCCTAGGCCTAAAGGAACAGCTAACAGTAGTTAAGTACACACAACTTAGTATATATGTCCTAAGAACTTAATAGCCACTTGAAAAAATAATACACATAGATTAAAAGAAAAAATAGTATCATATTTAACTCTTAAATAACGAGCTGTGAGCCTGTAGGCACTGTGTACGTCTCAAGCCTTGGAATCAGATTGGACAAGAACTCTCTCATTTCCTATTCAACACTGACTTTTGTGTGGTGTTTGCTTTTTGTCACAGTGACTACTGAAAACCCAAGCTTCGCAAAAATGTGATGTCATCAAAAGAAGTGTAGTGCAATGATGTTTCAACTGTCCAGTACTTCAAGCTGTGTGCTGTCCAATAGATGTTGAGTATTACAGTTAAATTCTCTTTGAAATTTGAACACATCTTATGGTAGCCCTCTGAATTCACCAGAGTGAGTGCCTGGAGGCCCCCTGCACACAGCTTGGGAATCGGCACTGTAAGCTGACTGGAGCTGGAGGGCAATCTTTTATGTCTACTCCCGGATGCCAACAGGCATTTAATATTGTTAAGTGAATGAAAAAATAACGTTATAACATCTTAGCATGCTGTTACCAAGCATCTAGGAAACAAAGAATTGAGGGGAGAGGAGCTTTCTATAAGAGTAAATAAAAAAAAATAAACTAATAGGAAGAATTTCGTTTCCAGGGATTTGAAGCCATTCGTTCCTGTTGTCAGGATGGAGGTGCAGCAGTTCACATCCTCTTTTTTATGACCTTACCATTAATAAATGAGCATCTATTGACTCACTAGACTGGTGTGATTTGGGTATGATACAAAAGAGACTAAAAATATGACTCTTACATCAAAAAGCTTTGAAACCAATTGGAAAGCAATAGGAATCTGGCTTCCGAGAAACAGACAAGGTCAGAAGGCTTTGATGCCAAGATGTCCCTAGTTCCAAAAGTGTGTCGTATTTAGACAAAAAATTAACAGTAAGAATTTTTTATTAATTGCCCGCTTTGTGTCAGTCATGACACCAGATGACAATACAATGGTGAATGGATAACACGTTGCCGCACCATGACAGTACAATTGCACCAAGATAATGGCAGGTGATAATGGAAGGGGGCTATGGAACTCCCAAGAAGGAGATAGTAGTGGGACTTGGGGGATGAAGGGTGGCTGCTTGGAGCAAGTGATACCCTGAGGTGAGGACAGGAGTGAACTAAGCATGATATCGTTGGAAGGATACATACTCATTCGTAAAGGGGTACGGGAGAAAAGGACATGACAGCATGGGGATTTCACACTAAATACAAACAATGTGTTTTCTACCAGTGAGTATCAATAGAATCATTGTTACTGGAGGAAATCGTGGAGTCACTACTTTTTCAATGTGTAAAAAGTATAACAGGAAACAGAATTACTTAATTATGGCCATAAGGAATTCATCAACAAAACTGTCACAGTTCTTTAAACTCTGCAATTCTACGGTGCCAGCGGAATGCTAAGTTAATAAGATAATCAGGAAGTTCAACCACATTTGTGTCCTTTTAAGGAAAACTGAAAAAATAGTAATTTCACAGTCACGCATAAAGGAATTTAAAACGAATAAAAAATATATAAGCTGGGAAATTAGGTTGGGCCTAAGAAGGAAGGTTCAGCTTGCTGTTCTTACAGTCTTAAAGGTAAAAAAGTCACATGGTGACGAGTCAGAGTGATGTAGAACACTCACTTAACATGTATTCTGAAGGCATGCTATTCCTTTGTTATGAAATATTTTATTTTATTTTATTTTATTTTATTTTATTTTATTTTATTTATTTTTTTTTTCAACGTTTATTTATTTTTGAGACAGAGAGAGACACAGCATGAACGCGGGAGGGTCAGAGAGAGGGAGACACAGAATCGGAAACAGGCTCCAGGCTCCGAGCCATCAGCCCAGAGCCTGACGCGGGGCTCGAACTCACAGACCGCGAGATCGTGACCTGGCTGAAGTCGGACGCTTAACCGACTGCGCCACCCAGGCGCCCCTGTTATGAAATATTTTAATAGGAAACCAAAATAAACTGTTTCATTCAAAACCTTTTATACTAAAAAAGAGATTTCTTCCATGTAGTTACAACCATATCTCGTATTTAACGACTATACATATGCAATAAAAGTAAAATTGTTTACCTTTATTTTTTATGCTAGGAAGTAGACATCTCTTAAGTAAGCAGAGCAAAAGAATTCCCTCTTTTGTCTCTTTGGGGAGAAAATTAATAGCATTTACAAAAATACTATTAAGAAAAAAGACTGGTTCCTATAAAAACATGTATTATATTTGTAGTTGGATAAGATAATACCATAAATAAAAATGCTGCTAGAAAGAAAATAGTAAATATATTAATCCATAATAGCAATTATCCTTGGGTGTTAGGACTAGAAGATTATTTTTTCATACATTTTTGTATTTTCCATATTTTTAGAGGAAGTTTTTGCTACCTTTATGTGAGAAAAGGGCATTATATAATTAGCTGGTTTAAGGCATAGCCCCATGTTTCTAGTTATCATTCCTTTCCTCAGTTTTGACAAGACCATAATTTTCTTAATGACAAAATAAAGATTTCAACTATAAACAGATGAATTTTCCTAGAGGGAAAAATAAGTTATTATAGACCAAACGGTCTTGTTAGTCACAGAGTAATCCTTTGAAAAGTAGGGTCTGTTTTCATTCTCCAGTGCTTTGAGGTTTAATCAAAATGCTGAATCTTTAAGAACATCTAAAAACTGTAGTTAATGGTCTGTACCACGGATGGAAAAAAGTGTGCTGTCTTTCTTCCTTTGTTTTTATCTTGATCAGCAGGCTTAAACTGGAAAACTATAATGGTGAACACTCAACAGAGCACGCAAAGGAGGAAGAAATTATATAAAACTCTGGCCACAAGTATTAGTGTGTTTGCAAATTGCTTAAGGGAGCTGAGCTAACACCTAATAGACAGGTGATCATGGCCAAAGCAGAAGTTGAGTAAAAGCTAACAGGAACCTATCATCAGCTGGCCTGCCCTGGAGCCCTGTTGGTAAAAAGAAGCAGGCAGGTGGAATATCAGGGGGAACCATCAGGGGTGAGGAAGGGGAACTTGCATGCCTGGTGCTTTGCACACATTTGTTACTGCATTAACTCTTTCCAACATTGCAACCTTGTTCTATAGATAAAGTAACAGCGGCCCATGACAGTGAGTGATGTGGCTAACTTCATGTTTCCAGTGTGGGTGGTCATAGAACGACTCTAACCTGCATCGTATGAATTCTTCCTTCTGAGAGAGAAGACTAGAAGCAGTCAATGAACCCATACCCAAAATAATAAAAAATAAAACTAAGCAAGCATGCTACCGTATCTTATAAAGTTTTCTTACTTGGTCAAGCTATTCACCGCTATTTCCAAATGATAAATAGGCAAAAGGTTAAAGTCTTACATAAAATTCTTCGGATGCTTCTGGAGGTTCTGGAAGTAGAGAAGCTTTTGGAGGCAACTTGAGTTCATAGGTCATTATACTCCACCTGAAGGGAGAAAAGTCTTTGGTCTAAAATCCCTTTAAAATTTAATAAACAGATTCTGTTCTCATACATATGCACAAGTCTGCACAAACTATGGTTTATTGTATCTAAGACAACCAGATACTGGAAAAAAGAGATGGAATTTTTGGCAATCTCATAAAATGCTGAATTCATGCTTTATGATTTCCATATCTTACCAGTTCTCTGGTTAGTGACTTCCAAACTCCATGAAATAAGAAATGCACATACATAGTAAACCTTCCCCTTCTTCACTAACGCAATGAATTCTGACTTTTCTGTTCTTGGGGTGCAGCGAGAACAGTGTTTAAATTTGCAGCAAAAAGCCATTTCAAATACCCTGCATAGTTTGGTAAGCACAGAACTGGGAAATCACCTCTGGGGTCTTTTAAAGACTGGAGACAGAAGCCCCTTTAGGCACCTAAATGACCAGGGTATCCCTCTCCTGAATAGTTTGGGATAACCATAACTTTAGACAAATGCTGTACCACCCAGCTCTCTTTTGAAATATTCTGTCAGCAAAAGAATCGACCATTACAACATTACCTTAGGACAGGCAAGGTTACAATTAATTAGGTTATAGCTCATTTTAGAGTAATTACATTTTAGATTGGTGACTCCCTGATGAGATTTTGTTATTTTCGGGAACAGTTCCACAGATGGCTAATCCTATCAAAGTTGTTTTGATTCATGCTAGCTTAAGTCCATAATGATATTTTGACATTTGTCTTCTACTTATGGTGGTGGTGGTGGGGGGGGGGGGTTGGTTACTGCGTACTGAGTCCTGTTGCTCCTAAACTTCAATCCTAAACACCTCCTCTAGAATATTCAGGGTACACATACTGTGATTTCTTTTTTATACGTGGGGCGTTTAGAGAAAAGAGGTTGAGATGTGGTCAGGACATCATAAACACCTCCTTGATATGAAGAGGTCTTTCTAATATTTCTCGGTCCCTGGGAAAGGATTATCTTTTTTAGTATTCAGTTCTTTGTTGGTTCAATTCATTCTTAGTATGCAATAATTAAGAAGAGATATTCTAACAAATCTAAACTTTATGTGTCTTCCGTAGCTTTCATGAAGCCGCAAGATGATGGGGCCTGTTATATGACCTATTATAGTCATCAAAAGCCCCCACACAAAATGAACTATTGAAGCTTTCTGACCTGGAGAATAAGGACAAGTAATTGCTGTATCAGCATAGCCTTCTGTTTTTAAACTAGAGAATAAACTGAGAATTGATGGGGGGAGGGAGGGAGGAGAAAGTGGGTGATGGGCATTGAGGAGGGCACCTGTTGGGATGAGCACTGGGTGTTGTATGGAAACCAATTTGACAGTAAATTTCATATTAAAAAAATAAAGATAAAAAGATATCTTCTGTATATAAAATAAAATAAAAAAGTGGGTTCATTAGACTAGTTTTCTCAGTTATTGTTACAATTCATTCATTCACTCAAAAAATATACTTATTGAGTGTCTACTCTACGCTGGGCTCTGTCCTAGACCTCAGGCGTGAAAAGAGTAGGTAGGACCAGGAAGTCTCTGTCCTCATGGGGCTTACAGTTCATAAAATTTAAACTGCCAAAAATGATTTAGTAGGCCATATTCAGTCTGGTTTTGGAAGAAAATTCTCTTTTACCTGTCTAGCATTTTGGTACTGGCTCGTTCCAGCTTCTCTAGTATCTGAGGAAGTTGGGTGTCGTCATCGTATGAACCTCCCCAGCCCAAAACGCGGGCAAGGTCATTTCCTGTACCCAAGGGCAATACTCCCAGCTGACACTGAAAGAGAATACAACAGGGAGACCTCAGACAAGCTGAGAAACAGGAGCTATGGCGTTTCTGCACCTCCCTGGTCAGCAGATTAGCATACGTGCATGCTAATGAGTACATGTTAATGTAGTTAATGAGTCAGGAAAGACTGAGTACTTGCCTGTTTATTCAAGTTGAGCTTATCAATTTCTGACAAAACCCAACCTACACTTCCATCTCCTCCACAAACAAGAATTCGAAAGTTGTCAAACTTCTGGAATAATCTTAAACTGAAAGTAAAAAGGATTTTATTTTAATACAAGTAAATGAAAATCACTTCCCCCAATTCTTTGTTATTCTGTATTTGTTGGTATTCATGTTCAGATAACTATAAGAACTCTTACATATTAATTATACTATAAAAATTAAAGCGCAATTCTTAACTCAAGAAAACTTCTTAATCGTAAGGAGGAAAGGGGATTATAAGTAGAAATGGGAGATAAAATTAGGTGAAAAAGGGAGTTGGAAATGAGAAAACAAAGAAGCAGACCGGGGAAAGAGAATGAAAGGTAAGGGATACAACATAGTAAAAGTAGTGACTTTTTTTTCTTTCCATTATAAGGATATGTTATTTCCTTAAGAATAGTATACTACCAACCAGGGATGGTGAATCTAGGGCACTGATACTATTGATGCTCAAGGCAGTTTCTAAAGAGACCCATCAAACCTTGTCGATGTATCACTTTTCGGACACCCACTCGCTTCTCCTCCGCCTCATCCCCTAGACTTGGGTCAGTCTTTTTTACTTTTATATTCCTTTTCCTTCATCTCAGCTTTTGACACATTGCACCTTCTGAATGTACCTTTGTACACCTCAAGTATTGTGGGAAATCTAAAAAATATAGAGACGATCTCAAGAGGTTTCACAAAGGGCCTTCCTTGGAATTATATAGGTGAGAAAAGGAAATGTTAAGAATGTAAGATATTGGAACTGTGAAGGATTATTAAACAGCTGTGCTAGAAAGGAAGACACAGCTAACCAGCAACGGAAAAGACACAAGTGAGGGGAGAAGCCAGGTAAGGAAATACCAGAACCCAGGGAAGGGGTTGGAGACAGATGAAAAAGATGAACATCCATGGGCTCAGAAGGGCCCGAGACTTGGCAAGAAGGCAATGGGAACAAGGAGAAAGACTCTGAAGAGCAAAAGTGAAAAGAAGCACAAAGACTGAGGCAAGAGATAGAAAGGACAGGAAAGGGTAAGGGCCTTCTGGGGGTACCTAAAATCCCCATTCCTACTTCTGTGTTCATGCTTTAAGAGAAAAGTTGAGTTGACAGAAGTAAATCATGGAGAGGTTGCAGGCCCTTGGTTCTAATGACATTGTATCACCTCTTCAACAAAATCATATGCATACACTAAAAATGTATTTAAAGTACCGGAAGGTATATTTTCCCTCACTGATAATACATTTAATTTTTTTTCAGATTGTAAGTCATAGGATATTCCAGAAAGCTGAAAAGAACAATCAACAACAGTATTTTTTGTAATTTATATGAATGAGTCTCCAATCCTTGGGACCTGCAATAGTATCTGTGCTTTGGTTAAATAATTGATTATTTGTATTACATAAAAATCAATGCTAGCCTTCCACGCAGATCATTTTCTAAAATTATCATGTATTTCTATATTTACACAGGTTCCTTCTCAAAGCTAAGTAAACTGTTAGTACTATTTGATGTATGATATATTCTAAAACATTTTCTAAACAAATTTTGGGATTTTCAGCACATAAGGAAGTTGTATAAATATCAAAAAGGGGAAGTTAAAACGTATAATTAGAGCTTTAAAAAGGGAGGAGTGGGAAGATCAACATAGAGATGTCTAGATGAATTGACAATCTTCATGAACTGAAAAATCAAACATTTCATGCTTGGTGCTACATTTCATTCTAATGAGATTAATCAATAATCAATTACCCTAAATGAGGACCTCCGTTCATTAAATCAAACACCTGAGCCGGATTTAGCAACTGTTTAAATCGACGAAGGAACTTTACTCCCTGATTATCTCCACTCTTAGAATTGACAAAAACCAATAGAGGACTAACACAGAATGAAAATGTCGCTCTACAGAAACCTGTAAAAAAAAAAAAAAAACAACAACAACACAGTACAATATGTACAGCTGTCTCTATTAAACCATTAATGAAACTTCAGAGAAAAGAACATAAATTCATAAAGAACCTTGTTTATTACTTGAACAATAAATTATAATTTAGCCCCCAAAATGGAGACAGGTTTATTATTTACACAATAAGACTACAGAACTTATCTCTTATAATATGCTCTATAATGAAAAATCCTAGTACAGATGGCAAAAGTGTTAATCATAGATATTTGAGATATACCACCTACCTTAACACTCAATTATCAGAAACCGATCACAGTCTGTAAATTCACATTTGTCAAAGAATTCATATTCATATTCAGCATTATAAGATATTTTAATTTCTCCTTCATGAGGCTTTAGAAAATATTTTGAAAGTTATCATGAGTAATAGAACCTTATTATAGCAGGGCTTGGGGGAGGGCTGTTAACAGCACAGATTTTAAAAAATTACATATTCTGCAGCCAATATTCTTGTATTTATAATACCTATTGGCATAATTTATATAAAAAGTTTGAAAGCCACAGGCACTTTTTCAATGCAAAACATTACTAACGATATATGGTAAAAGCCTTTTGTAATATGGTTTGCTTAGAAGGAAGACAGGTTCTTCAGCACTTAACAACCAAGTTGTAAGATTCTGGAAAAAGTGATGGAATTTACAGGAATATAAATTCCTCAAGGAAATTATAGAAAAACAGATTTCAATAAGTGCTATGCTGATGGGTAATTTCAAAATTATGGAGGGAAAAAAACACAAAAAGTTAACCTTTTTGGATTGCGTTTTGTTACAGAGTAATTTTCTTTTATTTACTGAAATGTAAAATGTGAAATGTAAAAAGTCTTATATGTAGGAATTTCACCAGTGTAATAATAACTATGTTAAATTTTAATTTTAAAATGTTCTTATAAAAGTTAAATGTACTGGGGCACCTGGGTAGCTCAGTTGATTGGGCCTCCAACCCTTGATTTCAGCTCAGATCATGATCTTATGTTTCAAGCTCCCTGACGGGCTCTGTGCTGACAGTATGTAGCCTGCTTGGGATTCTCTCTCCGCCTCTCCCCTACTTACACAAGCTCACTTGTTCTCTCTCTCTCTCTCTCTCTCTCTCTCTCTCTCTCTCTCAAAATAAATAAACTTAGGGGCATTTGGGTGGCTCAGTAGGTTGAGCGTCCAACTTTGGCTCAGGTCATGATCTCAAGGTTTGTGGGTTCGAGCCCAGCGACGGGCTCTCTGCTGACAGCTCAGAGCCTGGAGCCTGCTTCGGATTCTGTGTCTCCCTCTCTCTCTGCCCTTTCCCCACTTGCACTCTGTCTATCTCTCTCTCTCAAAAATAAGTAAACGTATAAAAAAAATTTATTAAAAAAATAAAGAAACTTAAAAAAATTTAAAGGTACTATTCAGCAATTTGAATGAATTATTATATAAAAACTGACCAAAATAACCAATTACAGTTCAACTTATTCTAGGAAAGTGAATGCACATATCAACATTTAATACCAAGAATATACATATTTACACAATGATACATACCATCAGAATCGGTGCTGTTCAGTGCAATTGGAGGTATGACAGACACTTTACACTGGCCAAGGGGACACACAGGATGGTATAAATCTTTGCAGGCAGTGTGTACCTAATGACAAACAAATAAGCCTTCAAGAACCATAAAAACACATCGATATTTTCTTATGGTATAGATTACATCTATGGGACTAATAACTGAAGATCGACTATATCACAAAATATTCAGTAACTCATAAATTACTTTCATGGTATAATGTTTATAACTCTAAGGAATGAGCTAATTATTTTAGAGATGGGAATCTGATGTACTCTGTGCAGCCTACTTTTATGGTGGCCTCGGGCAAGTAGTGTATATCGAGAAATGCCTGGTGAGGGATGCCTGGCTGGTTCAATCAGTAGAGCACGTGACTCATGATCTTGGGGTTGTAAGTTCGAGCCCCACACTGGGTGGAGATATTACTTAAAACACAAAAATAAATAAAAATTTAAAAAAGGAAATGCCTGGTGAAGGCAAGGAGAGAGGAAGAGAAGGGAACAGAGTGCAGAGGAAGGGAGAGAGAGAGGAAGGAGGCAAGCTAACTAGTACTTGTCAATATCATCGTCCATAAAAAAGATGATGGGCTCTACCTTATAATATTCTTACGGAATTTCATGAAAATCCGTGAAATTTTTAATGTGTCTCCTCTTTCTGCAGTGGTCCTATAACTTTCTATTCACATCTTTTTTTAAAAATAACATTTTCATGTTCTTATAGGTATAAGTACATCTGTGCCTATGGGCTCCATAGAGAAAAGGAAAAGGTCCTATCAATATACACTTATCTTGGAAAGTGATAAATATCATAGACACCCAGTAAACATGTGAATTCTGTAAAAACAAAGATTCAAGGGTAGTCAATATATTATTTCGAACAAGAGCAGGGCTAACTTATTAAGTAGAACCCAGGGAATTTACAATACTTTAGGTACTTACTCAGAGAGACTTAAAATGTTTTAAGCAGTAAAAGTAGACACTTCATAAAGCATTTACTTAATACAGCTTTATTTCATTAGTCTTTTTAGAAAATTGGCATGTTAATTAAACACATACTTATCAAAACTTTTGAGAAAATAACTAAAATTAAATACTGATTCTTATTCTACTGATGACCTAATTTTGGACAGTTCCTTATTATTATTTATAATAATTAACATCCCCAAATGGATTTCAGAAAAAACAAGCATGCACAGATAGTTTTAAAAAGATTTTAATGGGGAACCTGGGAGGCTCAGTGTTAAGCACTGGGGAACCTGGGCGGCTCAGTCAGTTAAGCAACCGAGTCGATTTAGGCTAAGGTCATGACACATAGAGCAAAACAGAAAAATATTTACAGCAAAGTTAAATGAAAAAAGCAGAGGACAAAATTGTATCTTCACTTTTTCTTTTTTTTTAATTTTAAAGAGAAAGAGGGAGTGTTAGTGGGGAAATGGGGCAGAGGGAGAGAAAGAGAGAATCCTAAGCAGGCTCCATGTCAACGTGGAGCCCCATGCAGGGGCTTGATCCCACAACCCTGGGGTCATGACCTGAGCTGAAACCAAGAGTCAGTCATTCAACCACCTGGGCCCCTCAGGCTCCCCCCTTCCCTCTTTTTACAGGAAAGGTAAAACTATGTCCAAAGACTGGATGACAACCGAAAAAATTAGCAGTTGACTCAGTAGAGTTGTGTAAGACCACAGTTGTGTGAATACCATAGTAAAGACTATGGTCTTACTTTGTTTTGTTTTAAAGTAGATGACTGTTTTACAAATTAGACACTCTGTGGGAACCATTATTTTAAAGGCAAAATAATATGCAAAGACGTATACAGGAAGATCGTGTATAGGAAGTACAAGACCGAGAAGGATGTAACAAGGTGATGGTGGTCCAGAAACCTGTGTGTCTAGTGGACGCAGTACAGGTCAGGAATGACTTCAAGATAAGGTGATATCTAGGTTTGCCAGAAAAAAAAAGGGAGAAGACATTCTAGAATACCCGCTTCTACATCCTGCAAAAATCCTTCTATCCTGTTTGTGAAAAGTTTTAAAGGTAGGGGTGAGTAGGGTGAGAAAGTAAAATATCTAATCAACTCCCACTGCTAAAATTAACAAAGTTTAAAAATGACTGGACCAATACAAGTAGAGTCCTATATATTGTAGGTAAAGACAACTTTCATAAAACCTTTCTAAAATAATTTGTCACACACAATATCTGCTTTCTTTTCAACAAGTTAGAAAGAAACAGCTGAAGTTCTAGATATAGAGAAATAGATATACAGACTAATGAAAATAGCAGTAGAAGCATACATCAGTGGTTGCACCCTGAAAAGGAAGTCTTAGGTGGGATAAAGTTTAAAATCTTATTTATGAGAGCACTTTACTTATTTGTTTGTAACATTATCTTACAGGCCTTTGGAGAGCACTCTTTATATTATTAAAAAAAAAATTTCTTTAACGTTTATTCATTTTTGAGAGACAGAGAGTGATCAGAGGAGGGAGACCCAGAATCTGAAGCAGGCTCCAGGCTCTGAGCTGTTGGCACAGAGCCCGATGTGGGGCTTGAAGCCACAAACTGCAAGATCACGACCGGAGCTGAAGTCGGATGCTTAACTGACTGAGCCACCCAGGGGCCAGGAGTACTCTTTTAAAATAAGGAATGTGCCTGGCTGGTTCAGTTGGGAAAGCATGTGACTCATGATCTCGGGGTTGTGAGTTCAAGTCCTACACTGGGTGTAGAGATTACTTAAAAAAAGAATTTAAAAAAGATAAATGAAATAAGGAATTCCACAAGAGTGTTTTAGGGGATATGGTTGCACCAAAACTGCAAAGAGACATGTTTAATACGGTTTATATATTACATGGGATAAGAGAAATTAGAAGTAACACCTGTGGCTAATAAAAGGGGCAATTGATGAAGAATAACAAAAGCATAAGGATAGAGAGAATCACTTTGATTTATAAATAAAAAGGAAACAGGGGTCCCTAGGTGTTTCAGTTGGTTAAGCATCTGACTTTGGTACAGGTCATGATCTTGTGGTCCATGGGAGCCTGCTTTGGATTCTGTGTCTCCCTTTCTCCCTGCCCCTACCCTGCTCATGCTCTCTCCCTCTCTCTCTCTCTCAAAAATAAATAAACATTAAAAAGTTTTTTAAAAAATAAAATGAAAAGGAAACAGATTACCTATCAGGTTTGACGAAAAAGCTATACAGGACTTATCTTCTTTATGGCCTATGGGATGAATCTCACTCATTGTGAAATCAACGCATCATACTCACATCTTTTTCATTTGATGATCTACATCATACTTATTAAAAGAAATGAGTTTTCCATATTTTGGGGGGGCCTGGGGAGTGACTTCCAAGACTCAAAACAAGACCAAAAAAATCAGCCCAATGCAAGGCAATCACTGTCATAGTTGGACAGCATCGCCCAGTGCTAACATGAGCACCCACAGCGGTTGCCTCCTCACCCTCCACGCCACCCTCTGAGTGGCCTGCGTTCACCCTGTAAGTTCCTGCTCTGACTGCCCTCGTGAAGTCTAGAGCCCAGCACTCACATAGTATGGCATGGACAGAACCATTCCTTGCTGTTGATTCCATGTTATGCTGTGCGTACTTCTCACTGCTTCCTTACACATGCAAGAAAACTTTGTAATATATAAATATATATATACTATGTAAATACATAAATAATATATACAATACATAATATATAAATATTATATAATAATATTTATCTATATAACATAGATATATCCCAACAAAACTGTGGGAAAGAGGTCTTGACAAGGGAAATATAAAACAACAGTATTGCAAGAAGGATATTTAAAAAGTAACCAGACTGGAAGGAATACTTTGAAAAAGATGAACATTACAATGGGCAGGTATGCTACCAGGCTTTATTATACCATACGTTCCTTTCCCCTAAATCACATAGGTTAAAAAAACTATGAAAAGAACGAATTAAAAAGGGCTCTCACCATTGTCTTACACCAAAGGCATTTCCAATCTTGTAGACGCAGAACACTCCCGCATGTTTTGTCACAGACAGCACATTTGGCACTCACGGGCAAGTTACCCTCTAGCCATTGGTGAGGCATAGCTACCTGTGCAGCAGGAGTAAAGAGCAGTCAAATTAAAGACTGGAGGACGTCATTCTCACCCTAGGGAAGATCTAAAATATTTCTTACTCAGTGGAATCAACATATGTACCACTCATGGCATCCATTCATTTAGCCCACATTTATTGACATCTATTGTGCCCAGAGCACTGTAGCGATACAAAAATAATTAAGACTAAAGCCCTGACCTTCAGGATTTGTAGTCTAGCTGAGGAGCAATGAATGTAAAGGCATTATCATAAAGTGATTACAAAGTGCTATCAGAGATTTGAATGCAAGGTGCAATGGAGACAAGGTTTTGAAGGTGGGGGTCACTGTTGAAAGGAGGCCCCAACATCTGCGGAGTGAACATCTGAATTAACACCTGAGCTAAGCCTTAAAGAGTATCTTACTTGTCAGGTCGGGGTCTACAACACCAGCCCAGCACAGCAGCCACTTGTAAGCTCTAGTCACGTTTCCCTCAAAATTTAAGAGCTGAAGGCAACTATGAAGGATCTAACTGGAAATAGAAACTCATAATTAACCCAAACCTTCCATTTCATCCTGCTAGTAAATATTCCCACTAACTCTGTCATTTTTCACAGGGCAGACAATAAAGAGAGGAGGTGCTGGGAAGAGACCAGAGACAGAACTGGGCTTACTCCGTCTTCGTCCTCTATGATGTCCTTCCCAATGGAGGCCAGAGTCGTCCATTTGCAATTATTTGTTGCCCTCACTGCACATCTTTTGTGAGCCTTGAATTTACACACTAAAAAAAAAAGTCAACCATTTCTAAATGAATATATACTTCTGGAATAATGATTAAAGGAAATCATAGCATGAAATTAAAAAGGAGGGGGTAGAAGAAAAACAATAATTTAAAATCTTAAATTACTCTTCAACAATAATAAAGGTACTCTGAAAATACCTTTCCAGAAGGTATTCACGTATTTATGATACATATGGCTATGTATGTATAAAGCTCTTTTTCAATCTATAGATTGCTACTTAGAGAGGTTCTACTTGTTCATAAATAAAACATAAAGGAAATGAATACAAAAGAATTAGTTCTTTAGGAGAAAGGAGACAACAGTCACATACGCACACAAACATAGAACTAAACAAAATTTAGTAATACAGAGGTGCTGGTAACACCCTATTTCTTAATCTGGATGTTGGTTACATAAATGTGTTTCATTTGTGAAAAATCCTATGTGCTGTACTCCTCTGATATTTGTATTTTTCTGTCCATATAATAAATTTAAAATGAAAGATTTGAAAATATCAGTAAGATAAAGAACAGGATAATTCAGAGGAGTTTTAAATTGCAAGTATGTCGAGAAAATACCCAGTCATCATGGGCAATAGGTTGATAAGGGTCACAAAGATGGCACTGTCTTTTAAAAGCATTATTGTTGGGATTACTACATTATGATGTAGACTAAAGTAGTGATGAAGAAATACGCTACATGCATCACTAATTGGCTCAGCAATAATATCAAAAAGGAGCCTATAAAAGAGACATAAGAGACACTGAAACCTACAAGACATTGATGAAAGAAACTGAAGACACAAATAAACTGGGGAAAATATTCCATGCTAATGGACTGGAAGAATTAATAATGTAAAAATGTCCATAGGACTGAAAGCAATATACAGATTCAATGCAATCCCTGTCAAAATTCCAATAGCATTTTTCAAAGAACTAAAACAAATAATTCTAAAATTTTTATGGAACCACAAAAGACTCCAAATAGCCAAAGCAATCTTCAGAAGGAACAAAGTGGAAGGCATCATGATCCTGATTTGAAACTATGTTACAAAGCTATAGTAAGCAGAGTAGTATGGTACTGGCGTAAAAACAGACACATAGGTCAATGGAACAGAATAGAGAACCCAGAAATAAATCCATACATAGACTGTATGGTAGACTGTATGGTAGACTGTAAAAACAACAACAACAAACCCACAAAAAAACCAAGCTCATAGAAACAGAAAACACATTGGTGGTTACCAGAGGTGGGGGCGTGGAATTGGGCCAAATGGGTGAAGGGAGTCAAAAGTACCAACTAAAATAACTAAGTCACGGGGATGTAATGTACAGAATGGTGAGTATAGTTAATATAATGAATTGAATATTCGAAAGTTGCTATGAGAGTAAATCTTAAAAGTTCTCATCATAAGGAAAAAATTCCATAACTACGGATGGTGACATGTTCCATTTGGGTAATCATTTTACAATGTATACAAATACCAAATAGAAAAAAAAACGAGAGAGAAATAAGAGGAAACAACCAGGAAAGAAGCAGCTCATATATGAAAAACAAGTAAACCACAGATTATTTGAGAAATTAACCCTTACTTATGAAAATCAGTACTTGAGTACTACTAAACTGATTTATCCTTTTAAGGACACCAATTATCCAAGCATTAGTGGATACTGACGTTACACCTGTTTCTGACTTTTCAGAATATATTTTTTTATTGTACTGTTTTATTCTAAAGAATATAATTAAAAGTTTGAGATCACTTTAGTGGAAATAACAAAGGTAACTGCTGCTAAATGCTACATGTAAGGTGACTCCGTTTCACATGATTTTTTAATGTCTAACTGTAAACTGCTAACAAATTTAAAAGATGGGTTATATGCCACTGGTTTAAGACAGTCCTAATTTAATGTGGCATGCAAATGAGAGGGTCAGGTAAAATCATGTTCAAAATGCTTCAGATGTCATGGATAGCCAATAGGTAAAAGGTCACTTAAGCTGAACTGTTTTTGGTTTTTTTTTGAGAAATATTAGTCTACATTAGTTTCATTTATCTGCTCTTTTGTGCACCTTGACAAATGCTTTCCTGGAAATCATACAGCTTTTGTTCTAAATGATTCTGTGACTCAAGCACAGATTTATATAGGATAACTAATTTTTTAATGGAATCTCATTGCTGATAAACAGTAGTGTAAAGAAACAGGAAGTATAAGCTTATACTATAGGAAGTTTAGGAAGTATAAGCTTAGTTTGAAAAACAGTTTTAGTATGACCTGCTCCCTTTCGGTCTCATGTTCTATTTTAAAATTGAGGTTAATTAGCATCCCTTGGTCTTTTCATCTGTTATGGTGTTTCTTAAAAATGTGGTCCTAGTTTTAGTTTTATTTGCAACATAATCCCCAGGTTTGCTTTTTAAGTACAAGTAAGTATTTGGTATTAATAGTCAATAATTGTTTTTTACAGAGAAGGAAGTAAAAGAGAGTAACAGGGAATAATTTCACAGCTTTTTAAAAATTTTGCCATTAAAAATCAAACAGCTCAGTAAAAACAAAAATTACACTTGTAATAATAAAGTGCTTCATGCAAAGAGTCTTGAAAATTGCAAAGTTGCTTAATATAGCATATAATAATAAAAAAATAAACCAGACTGTGATTATGGTCACTGAGGAATGGAAATTATTAATAAACACTTTAATTTTGTTAGGCGACAATTAGATTTCTCCAAATAAGTTATTGTGAAATAAATCACTTTTCCCTGACCTATAAAGCCATTATCTCAAAACCACAGAACTTAAAAATATATACTGACAAGTAACAAAATTATGATTTTTTATCTGCAATTTCCAGTCTACCACACTGAATCTTTCTAAGTGTTCAACACTGGCTATGATAAAAATTCATAGAATCCCATGTTAACATATTTGATGTTATTGATTAAAAGAGAAAAAAATCACCATTTAACTTTTTTTTGTTCAATTACTGTTTAAATAATTGTGAAGAACAATTATGGTTTGAAATTATAATTAACATTCTCAATTGATTTAGGGAATTATTTACAAAAAGTATTCTATCTTCTATTTTTCATTCATATATTTCATGTATGCAAGGCTTTAAAATAACAATTTTAGTAGTTATTCAACACAAACCCAGAAGACAAATCATTACAGCTTGTTTTACTGTGAAACACATTAAGTAAATTTAGTGATCGTTTCACACACTGGAAACTGATTTCCATTCCAATACAAAGTTATTCATTGTCACAGTTGAATGAAATTTTTTGTGTGTGTTTACATCTTTGTTATGTCTTTTAAAGCTTCTTGTATCCTATGCCTTTTGTTTTATCAAGCAAGCAGTTTATTCAGATTTGAAGGTAGTTTCTAAAGTTTAAGTATAACTTGGATTACAAGAAAATTATGCTAAATAACCACATTCTCATAAAATAAAAAGGTAACTTCTTTACACATTCATAAAACCCTTGGGATTTTTAAAGCCTTCTGGTGTATTTCTAACAATACCAAGGTAGGATGCCACAGGTTTAAAATTTTTATCAGCAGAGGGGTGCTCCTGGGTGGCTCTGTCGGTTAAGTGTCTGACTTCAGCTCAGATCATGATCTCACAGTTCATGAGTTCAAGCTCCACAATGGGCTCCGTGTTGACAGCTCAGAGCCTGGAGCCTGCTTCGGATTCTGTGTCTCCCTCTCTCTCTGTCCTTCTCCTGCTCAGGCTCTCCCTCTCCCTCTCTCTCTCTCTCTCTCTCTTTCAAAAGTAAATAAACATTAAAAAAAATAAAATAAAATTTTTATTAGCAGAGAAAATGAGTACTAACATTCTTCTAAAACTATTATTTAAAAATACAATAAAGAACCATAAAGAAGTCAGGAAGACTTCATTATTAACAGAATAACATAACAAACTTATTTAAAGACTTTTAAGTTTCTTATTCTCATCAGCTAATGTAATTTTCATTTTTCCTTTAAAATGTTTAGAAACGACTTAGTCATCCCAGCTTAAACTCAATTCACAAACAAATATATTTAATAATGCCTAATTCTCAAATCGGAAGAGTACCACAGAGTATCTCAGATCTGATATCTTTTTTTAGCATTTTTTTTTTTTTTTTTTTTTTTTTTTTTTTTGTAAAATGAGGTTAGGAGGCAACACTAAGGGGACCTTCGAAAGAACACCTCTGAGTATTAAAGACCGGGTAAGAGTAGACTCAGAGCTAGGAACCCTTTCAGATTACTAAAGTCATAAAGAGTAATTACACCTGATTTGCAATCATTGTTTAAATCTAAAAAACACAAAACAAAAACCAAAAAAAAAAACCACATGTAATGGCTCTTCCAAGTGTTTGTTTTCATGCATTTTCATGCATCAATCAGGCCATGATGCAATCTTCAATTATTTACCGGATGGATTTCTTACACAGCACAGCTACTAACTTCCCCAAGTTACTTGACTAGAAAAGTAGCTTTCCTGTTTATATTCTCTCACTTAATTTTCATAGTATCTCTACATAGTATAAATGACTATTATCTCCGTTTTACATATGAGGAAATGAAAGTCAAAAACAGTGGAACTATTTCTCCTGGTCACCGTTTGCAATGCTGGGAGCGGAACCAGAACCCTGAGGGTAAAACTGAGGAACTCTATTCTCAACCTCTGTGCGGTCTCATATTAAATAGCTGGAACTATGACGTATCTCAGATTTTATACCTTAAAATGAACAAAAACTGTGACTCTATTACTATTTTATTATTCAAGAATAAAAAGCTATTCAAAATTAAGACGTTTCTGTATTAGAGAAAAAAAATGCCAGTATTAATATTAGATATAGTTCAGAAAGTAAAGTGTGCTCACTGAGGTACGGAATTAAATAAATCTAAAGAAGTTATGAGTTTTCTTTTGGTAATTATTAGTATATTTGCTTCTATTGGTCACTGCTTTTTAATTAAGAAATGCACAAATCCTAATACGAAAACTACAGCATTGGCCTTATTTTTAGAAAAGGATGGCCTCCACGTAAATGAAACATAAAATGAAATAAAAGAAAACATTTAAAATAACGAAATAGAGGGGCGCCTGGGTGGCTCAGTAGGTTAAGCATCCGACTTTGGCTCAGGTCATGATCTCAAGGTTCGTGGGTTTGAGCCCCTCATCGGGCTCTGTGCTGACAGCTCAAAGCCTGGAACCTGTTTTGGATTCTGTGTCTCCCTCTCTGCCCCTTCCCCTCGCATTCTGTCTGTCTGTCTCTCTCTCTCTCTCAAAAATAATAAAAAAACATTTTAAAAAGTTAAAAAAATAATGAAATAGAAATAACAAACAATAGAAATTCTGTCAGCGTATGTGCTGTCCTCACTGAAAGTTTTGTTCTCCGCAATCAATTCAGAACAGAAAAAGAATTCTAGAAAACCAGCATGATAGACAAAGGCTAGAGATGTTTTGTGGAGCACCTGCTAGTTCCTCGGGAGCGAAATGCTACATTTTGATTTCTACTTCCTTCCTAATGATTCGTATACATCTTTCTCTTGGTAAAATATTTCCCCATCAGTCCTGTGGGCTCTGAGCTCCACTTTAAGCTGCAGTGAAACTTAAACACTGTGTTCCCACTGAGGTGCTCCCAGATGCAGCTCCCACCCGAGGGAAACGTTTCCCTGGGGTGATGTTTCTCTGTTCGCGGCACAGAAGTACCCACAAGATGTGGCAGCATCGTGCCACAGTGGTCAGTGCTGAGGGAGAACACAGGCTGGGCGCTACAGTACCTTCGCAGGACAGGCCGTGGGAGGTCACTCCAGAAAGACTCTCTCTGCACACGTTACAGAAAGTGGGTCGGGCATGGGAGCAAGCGTACCAGTTATGCATCCCTGAGAAATGTTCCACGTTAAACTGGGCCACCTAGAAACGAGACACAGGTTTGGCAAACAAGAGAAGGAGACGAGAGCGAGTTAACATTTGGAATGCATGAGTTATGATTAAAGTTTCAAATCCGTAATTTTTACAACAAGAACACTCTCCTTTAAGTAAAAAAAAAAAAAAAAAAAGAAAGGAAGGAAGAAATGTCAATATCAGATTTAAGCAAGTTACTTAATGAATCTACACATACTTTGCTTTGTGGAATATAGCTTTAGTTCTTCAGATAACATTGGTTTTCTAAGAACATGAGGCACCAGAAGAGAAGCCACTTTACCTCGTAAGGCTCTCTGGTCTGGACAGACTTCAGTGAGCTCATCCAATCCTCCATTTCCTTCCTGTTCTCAGCGCACAGCATTAGTCTTCTGAAGGGAGTGATTATCTGAAAGGGGAATTCAATCTAATGATTGTTAATCACCGAAAGGACAGATTACTGCAAAACTTAGCAATCGCGCGAGGAAATTGTATTTCTAAACTCAGAGTCCTCATTTCCTTGATGAAGCAAGTGAGAGTCTCTGTAACGTAAATAATTTTCTTTCTCTGAGTATGATACAATGGGGTCTAGGAAAGAAAACTTAGTTCTAAGGAGGAATTTCTTGTCTTTAAGCTCACTGCTATTTAGACTTTTTTAGTCCATTACCAAAGGCTGTGAATCCAAATCAACAATGTATTCTTACTTCATGGAAGGTATCTTGAAAAGTGATTTTAAGTATGCTTCGAAATAATTCATGGTAAGCTTCAAATTAGTACATAGTTTTCGGTATGGAAATAAAAAAAAAAATTGAAAACCAGAGGAATGCAACACGGAATGATTCATAATTGGTTTTTGACAATATCAACAATATTCTGTTATTAAATAATGTGGGATTTACATACCATTTCCACTGTCTATTTTAATATGATTTATATGAAGGATTGTTTCTTCGTTGTATAGAATTCCCCTACACTACTTTTTAGCGAGAGCCAGGGAGGGAAGAATTAACATAAAAACCCTTCGGTTGGCTTTAAGGGAAGAAAATAATTGTGACTCTTATATTTTTTCATGTCACTAAAGAACACAGACCAAGAGTCTTACAGCAAATGAAATGAAGGCTTTGTGCTGTTATAGCATCAAAAGTGCTCCAAAGTGAGATTCTGAAATGGCTTGAAATTAGCCCTATTTATGTGTGAATACAATATTCTGTTTGTAATCTTGAAGTTGCTAAGTCCTAAGCATTCACTGCAAAGAAGGGACTACTTATATACTTGTGGAAGAAGAGCAAAATTTACACACACACCTAGAAACTATTTCCAAATAATAAGTTATATATTTATATAGCAAATAACTTCTTAAGTTAGAAGCCATTTGATCGAGTGATAATCTACATACTTCATTATAGCACAGATTTCTGAAGTCATGAAAAAGGAATAATCATCTAAAAATAAAAGGAACAATTCCCAACAGGAGTAAACCAGCGTGCCTCAAATCAGTACTGTTCATCATAGGAAATAAGTCCGTTATTTAAAACTGTAGACACCAGCCCAATCTTAGCTACTCACCGCTCACTGCTTCCTTTCTTTGGTCTTTAGTGTAGACTGCACAATCCTTCTTTAAACCAAGGGGCCCTTTCATACATCTGACAGGCACTCACACTTAAATACAGTCAGCCAGAAGTCACATGGAGGAGAAGCATCAACCGTTCAGCTTTGGGTATTTGTTAATTGCATATGAAACTGAACAGAACCTCACTTCTGCATTTTCTTCTGTTTTCCACTACCCTCTTTGGATAAAGCTTTTCAGCAGTTGGTCACTTCTTTTCCTGAATAAATAGTTAATGAAAGAGCACTGACTCCCTCATTACTCAGGAGCTAAATGGATGCTTTATTGCTTCAAAATGTTTTTCTAGGACAGCTCATCCAATGCAGCAGAAGAGATACCATACTCTCCTGGCTCTGATGACTGGCATGGTACTCCAGAAATCTCCCACTTACACTGGACTGACTCAACAAATCTGACATTTACCTGAATAAGTATTTACCTCTAGCATTTATTTTTATTTATTTATGTATTTAGTTAGTTAGTTAGTTACTACACTATAGGATGAACTCTAAGGATTCCCTCTCTTTCATTTTGATCTTGTAGTGAGACAAATATCATTCAGATAAATAAACCAGGCTTGTTATTTTATTCTTTGATTTTGTTTTGTCGTTGTTGAATTCGAAGGAAAGCAGTATATTTGGTGGTTTTAACTATCTTTAATGCCTTTATATTCATCATAAGTCATCGTGAATTCAACAAAAAGGGGAGAAAAAGAATAGGGAAACAGCTTCTAATTTTTCTTATAGCTTTTGGAACTACATAAATGGCTCAATCCTAAAAATTTCAGCAATGTATATCACACCGATATGCCAATGAAGTAAATGTATAATTTTGCAGCTTCCTCCTTTTAACATAAATTTGTTTAAAAGTGGTCAATAATAAGCAAGTAAACATCATAGCACATTCTTGAGGCACCTGGGTGGCTCAGTCAGTTAAGCGTCTGACTGGCTCAGGAGGTGACCTCACACTTGGTGAGTTCAAGCCCTGCATCAGGCTGTCTGCTGTCAGCACAGAGCCTGCTTTGGATCCTGTCTCCCTCTTTCTCTGCCCCTCCCCTGCTCATGTGTACATGCTTGCTCTCTCTCAAAAATAAATAAACGCTTAGAAAAAAGATCATAACACATTCTTAAAATAAATGTTAAGTTTTTAAGAGCCAGAAATAACTATAAGCAATTTTGATTTATAGGCCTTGTGATCAAGGGTGATTAACAAATCCACTGATTATAGTTATAAGAAATATGTATGAAAAAGAAAATCTTTTGTAAATCATGATGCAGAGATGTCTGGTTTTGTGGCTACCGTATTAAAAATGCTTCCTCCAAAAGCCTGGAGTAGTCTGGGCCTAACTGAAGACAAGGCTGGTTTACCAACCAAACCCATAAAGTCTCCCAGATTGACCATTTCTCCTCTGGGGTAAACCCTCACCAGCCCACCAAAGCTCTGAGTTCTCTCCCCACCTTTTATTTGAATTCTTCCTCATATTCCACCTTTGTAGGAAAGAATAGGATAATCATAATTGTTAGCTGACAGGCTCTGGTTGTATCCTAACTAAACTCCCTTACACTACAGTGGTTTCTCATCCAAATCTTTATTAGGAAAATTATTTGAGAAGCAGCAAACTCTGAAAATTATTTGCTTCTCACTCTGAAAGTAGTATATTGAACTCAGCGTTTTTATTATGATAGGTGAGTAGTGTGGGAAGGTGGAAAGACAGAGGTGTGGGAGGGGGCTATTCCTAGGGAGGGTTCTTTGAGCCTGAGGGGGAGGACGTAGGCCAGGAAGTCTAGAAGACTAGAGCCCAGAGCCCAAGGCCCAGAACCCAGGGGTACAAACCATATGGGCTTTGCCTTAACAGTCCAGAAAAGAGATAAGGAGGTAAACCAAGGTTTGCTTGTCTGAAAAAGTGCTGTAGAAGATGAACACATAGGAGAGCCATCTAAATCCGTTTCCTAAGTGCTACCTCAAATAATATACAAACTCTCCATTAATAGAGATATTGCTCCATTTGGAGAGTTATTGGCCTATTTACTATTAATCCAACAACACTATTACCTATGGATAAGAATCAAAAATTTCTCAGTCTGCTAAAGCATATAAATACATAAGAAAGGAGACATTAAATACATAAAGTTCTATAGAAGAGTAACATTATAGTTAAGACTTTAAACACATAAACATGCACAGGGAAAAAAACCCCACAAATACTGTATTGGTCATCTTTCAGTGAGGGGATTACAGAGAATCATAATTGTATTTTTTGTTTGTCTATGGTTTCTAAAGCAAATACGTAGTACTTTTGTAACAAAACCACTATTTTTTTTTTTTTTACTAACAGAAGGATGGGAATTCAGAATTTAAAACTTTGCATTGTTCACAAGGAGTTCTTTTTTTTTATTTAAAAAAAATTTTTAATGCTTATTTATTTTTGGGAGACAGAGAGACAGAGCGTGAGCGGGGGAGGGGCAGAGAGAGAGGGAGACACGGAATCCGAAGCAGGCTGCAGGCTCTAAGCTGTCAGCACAGCGTCCGACACGGGGCTCAAACCCACAAACTGAGATCACGACCTGAACCGAAGTTGTACTGAGCCACCCAGGCGCCCCCGAAGCAGTTTTAAAGTTGGCTGCACATTAGAATCACCTGGGAGATTTTTAAAAAAAATCCCAATGTCCAGGCCACACTCCATACCATTTAACTCAGAACATCTGAGGCTGGGACCCAGCCGCCAGCTTTATTTTTTTTTTAACTTCCAGATAATTGCAAAGTGCAAGTATGTTTGAAAACCAGTGTCCTAAAGATATTTTACTTGTTCCCCACAACACTGTTAGAACTTAAGAAATGACAGAAGTTTCTGTAGCCAAGTGAATTACAGGGCATTGCTAGTCTGCAAATTCCCTATTGGAAGCCATTAAGGTAACAGCAGAGTGATTCAGCGCCCAAATTCTGGAGTCAGGCCCACTTAGAATGAAGACCAACAGCGTCCTTTCTTACTTGTGCGGCTGTGAACAATGTTTCCTCCTCTCTATGAGCCATCGTCTTGCACCTGCTAAGTGAGGATAAAGCATTAACTCCCAGCTCTACAGAGTGTGGTGTGGGATTAGTGAGACCATCCAAGTAAAGCATTCAGCACAGCGTCTGTTAGGAAACCAAAGCTCAGTAAATACTAGCATCACAGTTCTTGGCGCTGACAGCAATTATGTATCTATTTACAGACTTCTTCTGTAATGTATATATTTCTTTTTTAAGTGTGGTCCACAGTCCAAGACAACACAAACTGGAAGCAGTTCACTAACAAAATAGTCACTGACTAGCAAACCACCAAAACCAGAATAATGATAATGAGTTTTCTTTAGAAGATACTAGGAAAATATCAACAAACAGATTAGGAAAAATATTGTCTCCCCCCCCCCCCCCACCCAACCCCTCCCATTAACTGCACTGGGTCTCAGCTTCCTCACAGCAGGAACATAAGATGGCAAAAGGCTTGGCAGAGTGGAGGGCATCAGATCCCTGTGCAGTACTGAGAGAGCTCAGCATGCCCTCTCTAGTAGGTGTCATGCTTAAGACATTCACATAGAGAGTTTCTTCTTCCAACTTAGATTTTTGATTCTGCAGTGAAGGGCACTTTACAAACTTTTGTGGTAATTTTTTTTTAAGCTTGTCAGTTTAAAAAAAATTTTTTTTATGTTTATTTATTTTTGAGAGAATGAGAGACAGAGCATTAGCAGGGGAAGAGAAGAGAGAGAGAGAGAGAGAGAGAGTGAGAGAGAGAGAGAGAGAGAGACAGAATCCAAAGCAGGCTCCAG